AAATGCGATTTAGTTGTAAAGTAGTAAATAAATTTGATTTACTAACAAACGTGTTTCCCTCGCCAGTCTCTGCTGGGCAATGAACTGTTGATAGAGACTAAATGTAGAGAGCATGACAGTGGAGTTATTGGACACGAATGTTAACACAACATGCACATGTTCAGTGTGTGGCATTGCATGTCAGCTTTGTAACAGCGCTTTTATTTCTATACCGATATTCGTCTATTTGTTTTAGGTCAGATAAAAAAACACTAGTCAGCCAACTTTGTAGCCAAGTCGGTCACCTGGTCACGGTCGAGTTATCAGCAGATAAGCAAATGTTCATTGTTTGTAAATTGTTGCACATTTGCATCAGTTTTAAGTACCAGATACCAGTTTAGTGTGAAATCGACCCATGTAAATTCTGTATGATAATTCAAAAATAAAGCACCTCGGTGGTTGTTTCAGCCTATTTCATTTCAATATAAACCGGTACACAAATTTAATATGCACTTATTTGTCTGTCCATGATAACATCCGTTTGTAAACCGATACACAAGTTTAATATGCACTTATTTGTCTGTCCATGATTACATCCGTTTACAAACCGATACATAAGTTTAATATGCACTTATTTGTCTGTCCATGATGACGAACATCCATTTAAAAACCGATACACAAGTTTAATATGCACTTATGTACAGACAAATAAGTGCATATTAAACTTGGTGGTTGTTTCAGACTATTTCATTTCAATATAAACTGATACACAAGTTTAATATGCACTTATTTGTCTGTCCATGATAACATCCGTTTGTAAACCGATACACAAGTTTAATATGCACTTATTTGTCTGTCCATGACGAACATCCGTTTAAAAAAGATACATAAGCTTAATATGCACTTATTTGTCTGTCCATGGCGAACATCCGTTAATAAACCGATACACAAGTTTAATATGCACTTATTTGTCTGTCCATGATAACATCCGTTTGTAAACCGATACACAAGTTTAATATGCACTTATTTGTCTGTCCATGACGAACATCCGTTTAAAAAAGATACATAAGCTTAATATGCACTTATTTGTCTGTCCATGGCGAACATCCGTTAATAAACCGATACACAAGTTTAATATGCACTTATTTGTCTGTCCATGGCGAACATCCGTTAATAAACCGATACACAGGTTTAATATGCACTTATTTGTCTGTCCATGGCGAACATCCGTTAATAAAACGATACACAAGTTTAATATGCACTTATTTGTCTGTCAACGAGGACGTCCGTTTATAAACCGATACACAAGTTTAATATGCACTTATTTGTCTGTCCATGATGACGAACATCCGTTTATAAACCGATTCACTAGTTTAATATGCACTTATTTGTCTGTCAACAATGACGAACATCCGCTTATAAACCGATACACACAAGTTTAATATGCACTTATTTGTCTGTCCATGATGACGAACATCCGTTTATAAACCAATACACAAGTTAAATATGCACTTATTTGTCTGTCCATGATGACGAACATCCGTTTATAAACAGATTCACAAGTTTAATATGCACTTATTTGTCTGTCCATGGCGAACATCCGTTAATAAACCGATACACAAGTTTAATAAACACTTATTTGTCTGTCTATGATGACGAACATCCGTTTATAAACCGATTCACAAGTTTAATATGCACTTATTTGTCTGTCCATGATGACGAACATCCGTTTATAAACCGATTCACAAGTTTGATATGCACTTATTTGTCTATGATGACATCCGTTTATAAACCGATACATAAGTTAAATATGCACTTATTTGTCTGTCCATGATGATGAACATCCGTTTATAAACCGATTCACAAGTTTAATATGCACTTATTTGTCTATGATGACATCCGTTTATAAACCGATACATAAGTTTAATATGCACTTATTTGTCTGTCCATGATGACGAACATCCGCTTATAAACCGATTCACAAGTTTAATATGCACTTATTTGTCTGTCCATGGCGAACATCCGTTAATAAACCGATACACAAGTTTAATAAACACTTATTTGTCTGTCTATGATGACATCCGTTTATAAACCGATACATCAGTTTAATATGCACTTATTTGTCTGTCCATGATGACGAACATCCGTTTATAAACCGATTCACAAGTTTAATATGCACTTATTTGTCTGTCCATGATGACGAACATCCGTTTATAAACCGATTCACAAGTTTAATATGCACTTATTTGTCTGGCTATGATGACATCCGTTTATAAACCGATACATCAGTTTAATATGCACTTATTTGTCTGTCCATGGCGAACATCCGTTAATAAACCGATACACAAGTTTAATATGCACTTATTTGTCTGTCAACGAGGACGTCCGTTTATAAACCGATACACAAGTTTAATATGCACTTATTTGTCTGTCCATGATGACGAACATCCGTTTATAAACCGATTCACAAGTTTAATATGCACTTATTTGTCTGTCTATGATGACATCCGTTCACATGATCACTGACGTCATATTCCATCCGTGTATTCTTTATTCAATTGTAATCAGTGCTATATGTATCTGCGTAAAGATATGCGACAGACAGACGGACGGACGGAAGGACGGACAGAAACACACACACACACACACACAGAGGCCGACATGCAGACGGACGGACGGAAAGACATACAGACGGACGGAATAACGGCGAGACGGACGGACGGAAGGACAGACAGTTTAACATATAGATATTTATAGGTAATCTTACCAGCGTGTCACAAAATAGAGTATATATATATATATATATATTGGTGAGTAATGTTGCTAGCAGCATAGCTCCCTTTCTAAACATTAACACGATTGCTTAGCTCAAGGTATAGCAATTTTTATAACGGCTAAATGTGTTTCTCTCGATCTTGACACAAAAAGAAAGAAAAAAAATCACATGACAAAAATATTGTGGCTACGCATCTGTGCTAGGTTTGTGCACGTGTTCGAGTTTTTTTCTACTTATTTATTTTTTATTTATTTTTTTTTAATTTTAATGTTTTGCTTTTTTGTTTTTGTGTGAGTGTGTTGGGGGGCGGCGAGTGGGGGTGTTTTTGTTTTTGTGGATAAATAAATCTATGAATTGATCATTAAACAACATTTAATATTTTTATACATAATTATGATAGAGATAACTTTCCTAGTTAAATAACGATAAAACAATACTACGTTCGTTTTAGATGAGCCTTTGTTGAGGTTCATTAGAATGATATTTTTTATAAGAATGGCCATGCTATGGTATACATGTATGTGTAATACAACTACCAGCCAATGTTCCGGATATTGCTGTCATTCATAAATATGGATACTCCATTCATAAATATATTACTACGAGAAATAGCAGGAAACACACAATGTATAAGGTATGACATTATTGTCACACGCCCATTTGGCCACTGTCAGAGCTGTGCTCGTTAATCACTCGGATCATTTCCTGAAATATGCACTCGGATGACACACTATCTAAAAAACACAATCAATTCAACACAATTTATCAGTTTTGTTAATCTCCCGTTTTATAAAAAAATGTTTATCACTGACCTAGTGACTTTTAATCGCCAATGCCTTATGTTGCGACAGTTGTGAAACGTTAGTGTATTCTTCAACAGTCAGGATTCTCTTTTTCTGCCTTTTTATCATCATCATCATCATCATCAACATCATCATCATTAATATCATCATCATCATCATCATCATCATCATCCTGGCCAACTATTACAACAATCATCATTAACATCATCATCATCATCATTAATATCATCATCATCATCATCATCATCATCATCGTAAAAATTCTCAGAATTATAATCGATTTTTTAAATAATCAACTTTTATCTGAATATCTTGTCTAGCAACTAACGATTATATTTCAAATCTTTCAGCTTTGCGCCATTTTAAGCAGACGACGGAGTCCTGTGTAAAACTTGTGTATTTGGTTAACGTTGAATCATCTTTAAGGAGATATTTATTAATCTTTAAACATCGCTGTCATGTTGTGTACTTCCAGTCGACTTACGAAGTTTTGTTAGAGATGACTTATGTTTCATAACATCAAGGTTTAATTCAGGGATACTATTTTCTGTACTGGTTCTATTGTCTTTGTAAAATTCTCTCTCTGATGTCCACTCTATCATTTTAGTACATTTCCCATTTCGCTATGTTTGTACTTTCGGTTAATACTGCCTACTTTTCGTCTTTACAAGTCAGACCCTTGTCTTGTTAAGTTAGGCCCTTGTCTTGTTAAGTCAGACTCTTGTCTTGTTTAGTCAGACCATTGTCTTGTTTAGTTAGGCACTTGTCTTGTTTAGTTAGGCCCTCGTCTTGTTTAGTCAGACCCTCGTCTTGTTTAGTTAGGCACTTGTCTTGTTTAGTCAGGCCCTGGTCTTGTTTAGTCAGACCCTTGTCTTGTTTAGTCAGACCCTTGTCTTGTGTAGTCAGACCCTTGTCTTGTGTAGTCAGACCCTTGTCTTGTTTAGTTAGGCACTTGTCTTGTTTAGTCAGGCCCTGGTCTTGTTTAGTCAGACCCTTGTCTTGTTTAGGTAGACCCTTGTCTTGTTTAGTTAGCCCTTGTCTTGTGTAGTCAGACCCTTGTCTTGTTTAGTCAGACCCTTGTCTTGTTTTGTCAGACCCTTGTCTTGTTTAGTCAGACCCTTGTCTTGACCCTTGTCTTGTTCAGTCAGACCCTTGTCTTGTTTAGTCAGACCCTTGTCTATAGACACAGGTTTGCATTTGTCTTGATGCTTATTTGCTTTGCTAACATCAATCAACATGACCTTCGACCTTATCTTTCAACCACTCAAACTAAACACTAAACAATACGGCCCTAGACATTATCTTCCTTTAGAGGTTGTGTAAAGCATGCCATGTCTCAAACTCCACAATCACTGAAAGAGTAAGATGTAGTGCTGATATCATGAATGTCCTTTTGGTCCAATCTCTATGGAGCACTGGGAATGAACAAGAGATTCAGTTGGTCAATTTTATTGCACAGTTTTAATCATTTCTTTCTGACAGTCATATTTTATTTGTTCATGTAAAAGCTCATCAAACATCCATTCACGATTTTATACAACAATAGTATATAATAATGTACCTATACTATCCAAAGTCAGGCCATGTGACTAGATAGAATATTACATAGGATGTATTTATACTTGTAATATAAAGCTTCAATATGTCTCATTCTCTGCTGGTCCATTACCAAAAAATATATTTCAAAATGCCTTTTACAATTTCATTTCTCATTTTTAAAAAAAAAATTTAAAAAAAAGGTTGTGTTGATTCATCACAACACTTGTTTCATTGCCAAACTTCCTTCAGAAAGCTGTAACTAGCATCAGCATAAGGTTATTAGTACTGTAATTGGATCAGGTTATATTTACATCTGATCAAACTACAGTATTTTGCTAGTATCTCTATATACCTTAAACAAGTTGGTTATAATGGGAATATGGAGACACTGAGTCTGACAACGCTGAGTCTGACGACGCTGAGTCTGAGGATGCTGAGTCTGATGACGCTGAGTCTGACGACACTGAGTCTGAGAACGCTGAGTCTGATGACACTGAGTCTGACGACACTGAGTCTGACAATGCTGAATCTGATGACGCTTAGTCTGACGACGCTGAGTCTGACGAGTCTGACGACGCTGAGTCTGAAGACACTGAGTCTGATAATGCTGAGTCTCAAGACTTATATTACATAGCTATGTATAATAAACTTTTTTCTTTCTTTAAAATCACATTCATACTTTCTGGATTTTAAACTGATTCAAGGAAAACAAAACTTAGAATAATTAATTACTATTTTGAAAAAAAAATGAACGATAACAAATAAAAAATCAACAGCAATGATTCAAAAAATCCTCTTAAATGGTAAAACTTTACTTCTTGGAACACAAAGGCATATAAAGATTTTATTTTCCTATCGTGTTTATACTAAACAAAAATCACGTTGAAACAATCTATAAATCACATGTGGAGTAGGACAAACAAGTATTAACAGAATGACAGCCATGAATCATGAGACGGCTAAAATATTGTCCTTTTGTTATCTACACTACACAATGGCACTGTGACATTATAAACAGTTTTGGTATACTCTGTATAACTTGATTACACAAGCATTTCTTTGGTTGACAAGTTTGAGTACTTGTATTGTTTTAACAGTTTGTTACTTTGTTCCCATTATAAAAATAAATACAATGTATAAACAATAAATTCACATCTCAATAAAAAAAACTAGTAAATGTTAGCAATGATTTGTCTCTAACAGGACACTTCATGGTGTACACCACAGCACCAGTTTACAAGCAAAATTTGAAATATTTCACTAATCTAACTAAAACTAATGAAAGAGTTACGTAATGGAACACGAAACATGGAAATCTAGACTTCTTAAATGGAACTTTTACACCATGGACATTTACATTGATTTAAAAAAACACTAAATAACTTAATTTTGATAACAAAGTGTTCTTGTCATATCAATAACTTATGACTAAGGTATGCTAGAACTACAAAGTCACTTCATTAAATACCTCAGCTGGAATGTTAAAATTTTACTGCCATAAAAATGATGAAGTGCAAAAGATGTCAGATTTGATATCAATAATCACTTAAAAATGCATTGTTTTACAAATAAGGCAATATAGATTGTATACTGTACTTATCAATCAGAAATAACTAAAAACATTTTGATCTTTTATTTTGTGTCAATATGTTCAAGTGAACTAGTAAACTACTTCTATCAAGAGATTATCCCTCTAAAGGGACCACCTTTGTTCAAAAGACCACCTGTGTTAAAGGACCACTGCTGTTAAACCTGTGTTACCAGATCACCTGTGTTAAAAGACCACTTGTGTTAAAGGACACCTGTGTTATAGGATTACCTGTGCTAAAGGACTACATGTGCTTTAGGACCACCCATGTTAAGTGACAAAGGACCAACTCGTTTAAGTGTCTGCCTGTGTCACATGACCACCTGTGTTATGTGTCTACCTGTGTCACCTGACCACCTGTGTTAAGTGACCACCTGTGTTAAGGGACTATATCAAATAAGCAATGGCCATCTCAGATACTGCACCACAATGGCCGTTGAAATTCAATTTGTGACATAATCATTACCAATATAAACCAAAATCAAATTTTCCTTATTCCATTAAAAAAAAGAGAGTTATTTTTAACCTTCTTCAATATCATTACATTTTGGGAGTTGGGGGTGGGGGGTGGTATTAAATCAAACATGTTTTGATATCGTTAGAAATATAAGTATTATGTTTCATATATTCATGTTAAGAAAAGTTCTAGTCGAAATGAAAAAAATTAGAGAAGCTGAGTGATGGAGGCTATAGAGTGACTGTCTGAAGGCCTGCTGTGTGTTATACTGTACATTATATCTAAGATTTATAATTACAGCACTATGATGACATGATTTTACTGTCATAAAAGAATAAATTTATTACACTATGAACTCTTTATAGTGTGCATGATAAGTATACTGAATGGACATGTGCTTCATAAATCACTTTTATATTATATAATAGCCTTATCCAATATGTCCAAAATACAAGAGTTGTTCCCCTTTGACCAGTAATATATAATGCATATTTATCAATAAAATCTGCTGCAATGAAAACGTTTCAGCTAACTGTGCATTTGTGGGCTTGAATTGATCAGGTATAATCAGTATATTATTTCCTAGTTTTACGGTCATCTCTGACATCCTTGAGTGTTGAATTAGTATTACTTCTGGGATAGAAGACTGATGTAAGTGATGTTACTGACGTAAAGGTATATTTTTATACTATAGTTCTATTGTTGTAAGTACATACATGATCAAAAGCATTGTAATCACTACATGTACCAACAGCAATAAGAAATTATAACACTCCGAAGAATACAGTATACCATTACATTGAGCAGGTGTTTGCTGACATCTCTACAGAACTACATTAGATATGGGTACATGGAACAGGTGTTTGCTGACATCTCTACAGAACTACATTAGATATGGGTACATGGAACAGGTGTTTGCTGACATCTCTACAGAACTACATTAGATATGGGTACATGGAACAGGTGTTTGCTGACATCTCTACAGAACTACATTAGATATGGGTACATGGAACAGGTGTTTGCTGACATCTCTACAGAACTACATTAGATATGGGTACATGGAACAGGTGTTTGCTGACATCTCTACAGAACTACATTAGATATGAGTATTTCCAGCCATACAGGAAAGCATACAATATAAGCAAGTCTTTATTGTGTCAGAATAAGTAAATAAGCAAAAAATGTTTACAATTGTTTTGATAAAATAGTGTAAAGCTTAGGTAGTAGGCTCAAACAAAATATTTTAAAAATAAATGAAACTACAGAAAATACAAAATTTGGGGCAAAAATAACATTAACATTAGTTTTTATAACTCATCCTTAGGAAGGTATCCCCCATAATTTGTGGCTTGGCTTCCTACAAATTCATCATGCTTATCCACCATTTCCTCCTCTGAAAGTTTACCGTCCTTATCTGTGTCAGCTCGCTCCATCAGATGTTGTGCTTCCTCTAAAGCAGCTTCTCTGTTGCTAGGCAACACCCACTCCACAATCTCTTCACGATTTAGTTTTCCGTCACCATCTGTGTCATAATTACTAAACTGCTCCTCCTCATAAATCTCGATTTCTCGATCTGCGTCTCCATCTAAAAACAAAGATTAGGTGTAATATCTCACCATTTCTGCTTAGTTTCTTGTTAGTTTCGTGTTTTTTAAGTAAAATGCAAACTACAAAAAAATGCATGTCTTCCCAAATTTATATTATTATTGCTTTATGTCCTATTAACAGCCAGGGTCATTTACAGATGTGCCAGGTTTGGATGGTGGAAGAAAGCCTGAATCCCGGGAGTGAAAAACACTAACCTGCCACCAGTACCTGGTGACTGCCCAAGAGGTTGGGAAGGGCTAATGATAAAGACGGTCAAAGGTCACTCGACCACCAGTGCCCCTCCTCCTAAAATACCCAATGCCCATGTAAAGTTTGATCTTTAAAAGTTATATCTTTTCTCCTCTTCCTCCTGTTTTTGCTCTTAATTATATGAATTAGAAAATTCCTCTTAAAAGTAGCAGTAATAATCTTTGACCGTCAAATCTAATAAAGTTGCCTTTCTGCCATTTTTTTCTCTGATCATCATGCCAAAGTGCCTTACAGTCAGAAGCAGTTCTTTAGCTGTTCTCAAGCCTTCTTATCTGTTACTGTACCTGTTTTAAACATTCCCTAACAGTTCAACAATAATAACTACTTCCTTTTATTCAATGCACTGCTTGTGAATACTTTTAAGCTGTTAATGGGACTGCTTATGATAGTTCAACAAGAGTTCCTCGGAACTGTATGTGTCGCCTACATAAAGTGTCACGGTCACCCAGAAATTGAACTGGATGTGCAACGATCAACCATAAAGCTGTAATACCAAATTTCATTTCTATAACTTGAAGCATAAAGGGAAAACTGTGCAAAGCAATATTCCTGAGAAATTTTCCAAGTTCAAATGGACATATCACTGACAAGAAGGGTCACAGACAGCATATAGCAAATGTCATTTCTATAACTCAAACAATATTCCCAGAGAATTTTCTAAGTTCAAAGGGGCATAACTCAGCCAAGAAGGGTCAAAGACAGCCAGGAATCACGATTAATCTGTTCCCTTGCAACAAGAAGCCATATGCCAAATTTCATTTTGATAACTCTAAGCATTACCGAAAAAAGTCTAGAAAACTTTCGTATGGATGACGATGCCGCCGTGACGACAGACAAAGTGATCCCTAAGTGTCCGCCAGCTCTGCAGGCGACACAAAAACTGCCAAGAAATGATAAGGCTTAGCAATCCTTAGCCTTCAACTGGTATAAATCTTTCAGCACACGCATGCTCTATGCAATAAATGTCAAGGTCAAGGTTAAATTTGGAAGTTTGGAACATTATTGCCAGTAGGTTTAAGGTGTGTTGGAGTATGCACATGGCTCCAGGATGAAACAGATTTCAGGATAATTGTGACATCTAAGATGATTCTATCAGTAATATTAACAAGTATGTCCATGAAATGAATGAGATAATGTTCTTTGTTTTTACATGTCTTTAATCCTCAAAACAGGATATAGTGCATTTATACAACTGTCTTTTCATTCAGAAATTCATTAAGTAACAATTCACCATGTGTACACAAACACTATAATAATATGCAGATGGGAATACCAGACACAATTTTTACCCTTTAGTTACAAATATCAGTAAAGTCTAGCTACTTTAGATTAGGTTCTAAAATCCAAAGACACCAGCAGAATCAAGCTAATGGAACTAACTCATTAACTTATAATGAGTGACATGTATTTCATAAATGATTACACTTTAAAAACAGAAATTATAATTATTAGAAATCATAAGCATTGTATGAAAATTACTATATAATTACCAATACATTCTGTGTTCTAAGCAGTTAAATGAAAATGTATGTCGAATAATTTATTAGCATGTCGACATTTCTTAATTATTTGTAGTTTTGTTTAGCCGTTCAATTCTTCCATATTTGGTAACCCGTAACTTTATATACACAGACTAAACTGTAACCCCTACAGGTAACCAGTAACTTTATATACACAGACTAAACCGTAAGACCTACACGTAACCAGTAACTTTATATACACAGTCTAAACGGTAACCCCTACAGGTAACCAGTAACTTTATATACACAGTCTAAACCATAACCCCTACAGGTAACCAGTAACTTTATATACACAGACTAAACCGTAACCCCTACAGGTAACCAGTAACTTTATATACACAGACTAAGCCGTAACCCCTACAGGTAACCAGTAACTTTATATACACAGTCTAAACCGTAACCTCTACAGGTAACCAGTAACTTTATATACACAGACTAAGCCGTAACCCCTACAGGTAACCAGTAACTTTATATACACAGACTAAACCGTAACCCTACAGGTAACCAGTAACTTTATATACACAGACAAAACCATAACCTTTACAGTGAACCGGTAACTTTATATACACAGTCTAAACCGTAACCCCTACAGGTAACCAGTAACTTTATATACACAGACTAAACCGTAACCCCTACAGGTAACCAGTAACTTTATATACACAGTCTAAACCGTAACCCCTACAGGTAACCAGTAACTTTATATACACAGACTAAACCGTAACCCCTACAGGTAACCTGTAACTTTATATACACAGACTAAACCGTAACCCCTACAGGTAACCAGTAACTTTATATACACAGACTAAGCAGTAACCCCTACAGGTAACCAGTAACTTTATATACACAGTCTAAACCGTAACCCCTACAGGTAACCTGTAACTTTATATACACAGTCTAAACCGTAACCCCTACAGGTAGCCTGTAACTTTATATACACAGTCTAAACCGTAACCCCTACAGGTAACCTGTAACTTTATATACACAGACTAAACCGTAACCCCTACAGGTAACCAGTAACTTTATATACACAGTCTAAACCGTAACCCCTTCAGGTAACCAGTATCTTTATATACACAGTCTAAACCGTAACCCCTACAGGTAACCAGTATCTTTATATACACAGTCTAAACCGTAACCTCTACAGGTAACCATTAACTTTATATACACAGACTAAACTGTAACCTCTACAGGTAACCAGCAATTGCTAACCTTAAGAGAGAAATGTCTATACATCTAAACTCTCCTTATACCCACCCCTGGGGCAGGAAAATATCATGTTATTTATTTTCAACTATTTTCATCTTTAACGGATGGGAAGGGAGGGCTATTCAGTATGCATATATCTGTTCTATTCATGCACAACATCAGGTACCTTTGAGTTGCAAATGTGTCATACCTCTTTTCACAAATTCCTGTTTTGATATGTGACCATCTCCATCTTTATCATAGTCTTTTTGTGCCCTGGTTAGTTCAATCTCGTGCATGTGTTCATAATCATAAGGATGTGTAAAGGCTCTATATTCTTCTGCATCCAATACTTCATCTTTGTTTAAGTCAGCAATCTTGAATTTTTCCTCATCTTCTGATACCACCTAAGAAATATTAAGATCAAATTTAATCTGGTTAAATCTTATAAGATTTAATAAAGTAGGGTTAATATCTACCCAGATAAAATCTTATCAGGTACAATCTAACCAGGTAAATCTAATCAGATAAAATCTAACCTGGTAAAATATCATCAGATAAAATCTAATCAGATAAAATCTGATCAGGTACAATCTAACCAGGTAACATCTGATCAGGTAACATCAAACCAGGTAAAATCTGATCAGGTAACATCAAACCAGGTAACATCTGATCAGGTAACATCAAACCAGGTAAAATCTGATCAGGTAACATCTAACCAGGTAAAATCTGATCAGACATCAAACCAGGTAAAATCTGATCAGGTAACATCAAACCAGGTAAAATCTGATCAGGTAACATCAAACCAGGTAAAATCTGATCAGGTAACATCTAACCAGGTAAAATCTGATCAGGTAACATCAAACCAGGTAAAATCTGATCAGGTAACATCTAACCAGGTAAAATCTGATCAGGTAACATCAAACCAGGTAAAATCTGATCAGGTAACATCTAACCAGGTAAAATCTGATCAGACATCAAACCAGGTAAAATCTGATCAGGTAACATCAAACCAGGTAAAATCTGATCAGGTAACATCAAACCAGGTAACATCTGATCAGGTAACATCAAACCAGGTAAAATCTGATCAGGTAACATCAAACCAGGTAAAATCTGATCAGGTAACATCTAACCAGGTAAAATCTGATCAGGTAACATCAAACCAGGTAAAATCTGATCAGGTAACATCTAACCAGGTAAAATCTGATCAGGTAACATCAAACCAGGTAAAATCTGATCAGGTAACATCAAACCAGGTAAAATCTGATCAGACATCAAACCAGGTAAAATCTGATCAGGTAACATCTAACCAGGTAAAATCTGATCAGGTAACATCAAACCAGGTAAAATCTGATCAGGTAACATCTAACCAGGTAAAATCTGATCAGGTAACATCAAACCAGGTAAAATCTGATCAGGTAACATCAAACCAGGTAAAATCTGATCAGACATCAAACCAGGTAAAATCTGATCAGGTAATGTCTGATCAGGTAAAATCTGATCAGGTAACATCAAACCAGGTAAAATCTGATTAGACATCAAACCAGGTAAAATCTGATCAGACATCAAACCAGGTAAAATCTGATAAGACATCAAACCAGGTAAAATCTGATCAGGTAACATCTAACCAGGTAAAATCTGATCAGGTAACATCAAACCAGGTAAAATCTGATCAGACATCAAACCAGGTAAAATCTGATCAGACATCAAACCAGGTAAAATCTGATCAGACATCAAACCAGGTAAAATCTGATCAGACATCAAACCAGGTAAAATCTGATCAGGTAACATCAAACCAGGTAAAATCTGATCAGGTAACATCTAACCAGGTAAAATCTGATCAGGTAACATCAAACCAGGTAAAATCTGATCAGACATCAAACCAGGTAAAATCTGATCAGGTAATGTCTGATCAGGTAACATCAAACCAGATAACATCTAAAAAGTCGAAATCTAATCAAGTAAAATATAAATCTTATAAAAGATATATCAAATTTCTTTCTTCTTTTTTTTTCCAAATACTCCAACAACAATTTAGGACATTGTGGTATCAAAATTACTATTCTAGTTCATCAGCTATCAAAGTAAAAAAAAGTCATTAGTGTGTCAAATGTCCTTGATATGTGTCAATTGTTTTGGTAAGTAAATTGCCCTTGATGTGCTTTATTTATAACTCTGTGCAGCATCCACTTTTCAAGATTTATGTCTAAGTACCTTGTTAAAATCTTCCAGATCATCATCTGTCAGTTTGTGGAAATCGTCCATATCCTCTGGGTTGTATCCATACACTGCTCCAATATATTCACGCCATGTCATTTTCCCGTCTTCATCTTTATCCTGCTTCTCAAATTCTTCTAAAGAGTCTTCTGCATCAAGCTTTCTAATGACCAAGAACATTACAAGATTAACAATTAGTGTCAATGTGTCACTTCAACAAGACACAGCCAGTGTCAATGTGTGATTTCAACAAGAAACAGTCAGTGTCAATGTGAGATTTCAACAAGAAACAGTCAGTGTCAATGTGTCTCTTCAACAAGAAACAGTCAGTGTTAATGTGTCTCTTCAACAAGAAACAGTCAGTGTCAATGTGTCTCTTCAACAAGAAACAGTCAGTGTTAATGTGTCTCTTCAACAAGAAACAGTCAGTGTTAATGTGTCTCTTCAACAAGAAACAGCAAGTGTCAATGTGTCTCTTCAACAAGAAACAGTCAGTGTTAATGTGTCTCTTCAACAAGAAACAGTCAGTGTCAATGTGTCTCTTCAACAAGAAACAGTCAGTGTTAATGTGTCTCTTCAACAAGAAACAGTCAGTGTCAATGTGTCTCTTCAACAAGAAACAGTCAGTGTTATGTGTCTCTTCAACAAGAAACAGTCAGTGTCAATGTGTCTCTTCAACAAGAAACAGTCAGTGTCAATGTGTCTCTTCAACAAGAAACAGCAAGTGTCAATGTGTCTCTTCAACAAGAAACAGCAAGTGTCAATGTGTCTCTTCAACAAGAAACAGTCAGTGCCAATGTGTCTCTTCAACAAGAAACAGTCAGTGTCATTGTGTCTCTTCAACAAGAAACAGCAAGTGTCAATGTGTCTCTTCAACAAGAAACAGCAAGTGTCAATGTGTCTCTTCAACAAGAAACAGTCAGTGCCAATGTGTCTCTTCAACAAGAAACAGTCAGTGTCATTGTGTCTCTTCAACAAGAAACAGCAAGTGTCAATGTGTCTCTTCAACTTCTTAGTTACATATATAACCTTGACCTTAGATATATGGATGACCTTGATTATGAGTATACAGATTTTTTCTCTTAGATGGTATGCCTTTTACAGTCTAAGACAAAATGTCTATAAGAACACTATCTCAGCTGAATAAATTAAATAAAACATTTTGTAGGCTTAGGCAGATATTCAACAAATACAAAATGTTCTGTGTAATGTTAGCACATTAGTACAGATACTGACAAGTACAAATACTTACTTAAAGGAACCCATGATCCACTTCATCAGTTCCTCTTCAGTGACGAATGCATCTTTATCCTCATCCATCTGTTTGTACAGAAGACGGAGTCTCTTTTTGGCCTCCTCTGGGGCCAACGTATCAAACTCCTCCTCCAGCTCCTTAGATCCTGTTGTAATGCACAGAAATCAGCGATGTTGATCAACCAACAAACAATCAGTGAAATAATAACACCAATCTGTAGTAAGACAATAGGAGTGAAACAAATAAACAAATCAAACAATACATATGTCATTATAGCTGATAAGACTGACACTTTTCAACCAAACGGTGAATAAAGTGAAGGGTTGAACACAGGATTAAACTGTCAATACAGTGGAGTAACTGTGGAGTCACTGTAGAGTAACTGTGGAGTCAATGTGGAGTAACTGTGGAGTAAGTGTGGAGTAACTGTGGAGTCAATGTGGAGTCACTGTGGAGTAAGTGTGGAGTAACTGTGGAGTCACTGTGGAGTAACTGTGGAGTAACTGTGGAGTAACTGTGGAGTCAATGTGGAGTCACTGTGGAGTAAGTGTGGAGTAACTGTGGAGTAGCTGTGGAGTCACTGTAGAGTCACTGTGGAGTAACTGTGGAGTAACTGTGGAGTCACTGTGGAGTAACTGTGGAGTCACTGTGGAGTCACTGTAGAGTAACTGTGGAGTCAATGTGGAGTAACTGTGGAGTAAGTGTGGAGTAACTGTGGAGTCACTGTGGAGTCACTGTGTTACCTTATCATCTGGAAGCTCGTTAACATTAAAGGATACCACATAGACAAAAACATCAACATATTTATAAACCAATAAAAGTCCCTTTCAGGGCAGTTGAGAACTTTAGTTGAACTTGAAAGGTAATATAAAAGCTCAATAATTATGAATAAATCCTAAATTACAAAAAGTACATCTGTACTAACAACATACAACTGATAGGTACATCTGTACTAACAACATACAACTGTGTGGTACATCTGTACTAACAACATACAACTGTGTGGTACATCTGTACTAACAACATACAACTGATTAGTACATCTGTACTAACAACATACAACTGATTAGTACATCTGTACTAACAACATACAACTGATTAGTACATCTGTACTAACAACATACAACTGAGTGGTACATCTGTACTAACAACATACAACTGTGTGGTACATCTGTACTAACAACATACAACTGTGTGGTACATCTGTACTAACAACATACAACTGTGTGGTACATCTGTACTAACAACATACAACTGTGTGGTACATCTGTACTAACAACATACAACTGTGTGGTACATCTGTACTAACAACATACAACTGATTAGTACATCTGTACTAACAACATACAACTGTGTGGTACATCTGTACTAACAACATACAACTGTGTGGTACATCTGTACTAACAACATACAACTGTGTGGTACATCTGTACTAACAACATACAACTGATTAGTACATCTGTACTAACAACATACAACTGTGTGGTACATCTGTACTAACAACATACAACTGTGTGGTACATCTGTACTAACAACATACAACTGATTAGTACATCTGTACTAACAACATACAACTGATTAGTACATCTGTACTAACAACATACAACTGATTAGTACATCTGTACTAACAACATACAACTGATTAGTACATCTGTACTAACAACATACAACTGATTAGTACATCTGTACTAACAACATACAACTGATTAGTACATCTGTACTAACAACATACAACTGATTAGTACATCTGTACTAACAACATACAACTGATTAGTATCATACTGTACTAACAACATACAACTGTGTGGTACATCTGTAACAACATCTGTACTAACAACATACAACTGATTAGTACATCTGTACTAACAACATACAACTGATTAGTACATCTGTACTAACAACATACAACTGATTAGTACATCTGTACTAACAACATACAACTGTGTGGTACATCTGTACTAACAACATACAACTGATTAGTACATCTGTACTAACAACATACAACTGATTAGTACATCTGTACTAACAACATACAACTGTGTGGTACATCTGTACTAACAACATACAACTGTGTGGTACATCTGTACTAACAACATACAACTGATTAGTACGTCTGTACTAACAACATACAACTGATTAGTACATCTGTACTAACAACATACAACTGATTAGTACGTCTGTACTAACAACATACAACTGTGTGGTACATCTGTACTAACAACATACAATTGATTAGTACATCTGTACTAACAACATACAACTGATTAGTACATCTGTACTAACAACATACAACTGATTAGTACGTCTGTACTAACAACATACAACTGATTAGTACGTCTGTACTAACAACATACAACTGATTAGTACATCTGTACTAACAACATACAACTGATTAGTACATCTGTACTACTAACAACATCTGTATGTCTGTACTAACAACATACAACTGATTAGTACATCTGTACTAATAACAACATACAACTGATTAGTACATCTGTACTAACAACATACAACTGATTAGTACATCTGTAACAACATAACAACATACAACACTGATTAGTACATCTGTACTCTGTACATCTGTACTAACAACATACAACTGTGTGGTACATCTGTACTAACAACATACAACTGTGTGGTACATCTGTACTAACAACATACAACTGTGTGGTACATCTGTACTAACAACATACAACTGATAAGTACATCTGTACTAACAACATACAACTGATTAGTACATCTGTACTAACAACATACAACTGTGTGGTACATCTGTACTAACAACATACAACTGATTAGTACATCTGTACTAACAACATACAACTGTGTGGTACATCTGTACTAACAACATACAACTGATTAGTACATCTGTACTAACAACATACAACTGACATCTGTGGTACATCTGTACTAACAACATACAACTGTGTGGTACATCTGTACTAACAACATACAACTGTGTGGTACATCTGTACTAACAACATACAACTGATTAGTACATCTGTACTAACAACATACAACTGATTAGTACATCTGTACTAACAACATACAACTGATTAGTACATCTGTACTAACAACATACAACTGATTAGTACATCTGTACTAACAACATACAACTGATAAGTACATCTGTACTAACAACATACAACTGTGTGGTACATCTGTACTAACAACATACAACTGATGGTACATCTGTACTAACAACATACAACTGATTAGTACATCTGTACTAACAACATACAACTGATTAGTACATCTGTACTAACAACATACAACTGATAGGTACATCTGTACTAACAACATACAACTGATTAGTACATCTGTACTAACAACATACAACTGATTAGTACATCTGTACTAACAACATACAACTGATTAGTACATCTGTACTAACAACATACAACTGTGTGGTACATCTGTACTAACAACATACAACTGTGTGGTACATCTGTACTAACAACATACAACTGTGTGGTACATCTGTACTAACAACATACAACTGTGTATCTGTACTAACAACATACAACTGATTAGTACATCTGTACTAACAACATACAACTGATCTGTGGTACATCTGTACTAACAACATACAACTGTGTGGTACATCTGTACTAACAACATACAACTGATTAGTACATCTGTACTAACAACATACAACTGATTAGTACATCTGTACTAACAACATACAACTGATTAGTACATCTGTACTAACAACATACAACTGATTAGTACATCTGTACTAACAACATACAACTGATTAGTACATCTGTACTAACAACATACAACTGATTAGTACATCTGTACTAACAACATACAACTGTGTGGTACATCTGTACTAACAACATACAACTGATTAGTACATCTGTAACAACATACAACTGTTGGTACATCTGGTACAACTGATGTAGTACATCTGTACTAACAACATACAACTGATAAGTACATCTGTACTAACAACATACAACTGATAAGTACATCTGTACTAACAACATACAACTGTGTGGTACATCTGTACTAACAACATACAACTGATTAGTACATCTGTACTAACAACATACAACTGATTAGTACATCTGTACTAACAACATACAACTGACTAACAACATACAACTGTGTGGTACATCTGTACTAACAACATACAACTGATTAGTACATCTGTACTAACAACATACAACTGATTAGTACATCTGTACTAACAACATACAACTGATTAGTACATCTGTACTAACAACATACAACTGATTAGTACATCTGTACTAACAACATACAACTGATTAGTACATCTGTACTAACAACATACAACTGATTAATACATCTGTACTAACAACATACAACTGATTAATACATCTGTACTAACAACATACAATCTGACTGATTGTACATCTGTACTAACAACTTACAACTGTGTGGTACATCTGTACTAACAACATACAACTGATTAGTACATCTGTACTAACAACATACAACTGATTAGTACATCTGTACTAACAACATACAACTGATTAGTACATCTGTACTAACAACATACAACTGAGTGGTACATCTGTACTAACAACCTACAACTGATTAGTACCTCTGTACTAACAACATACAACTAACAACATACAACTGATTAGTACATCTGTACTAACAACATACAACTGATTAGTACATCTGTACTAACAACATACAACTGTGTACAGTACATCTGTACTAACAACATACAACTGATTAGTACATCTGTACTAACAACATACAACTGTGGTACATCTGTACTACTGTACTGTACAACATACAGTACTGATGTAGTACATCTGTACTAACAACATACAAACTGTGTGTACATCTGTACATCTGTACTAACAACATACAACTGATTAGTACATCTGTACTAACAACATACAACTGAGTGGTACATCTGTACTAACAACATACAACTGAGTGGTACATCTGTACTAACAACATACAACTGATTAGTACATCTGTACTAACAACATACAACTGATTAGTACATCTGTACTAACAACATACAACTGATTAGTACATCTGTACTAACAACATACAACTGATTAGTACATCTGTACTAACAACATACAACTGATGTAGTACATCTGTGGTACATCTGTACTAACAACATACAACTGTGTGGTACATCTGTACTAACAACATACAACTGATTAGTACATCTGTACTAACAACATACAACTGATTAGTACATCTGTACTAACAACATACAACTGATTAGTACATCTGTACTAACAACATACAACTGATTAGTACATCTGTACTAACAACATACAACTGATTAGTACATCTGTACTAACAACATACAACTACAATTAGTACATCTGTACTAACAACATACAACTGATTAGTACATCTGTACTAACAACATACAACTGATTAGTACATCTGTACTAACAACATACAACTGTGTGGTACATCTGTACTAACAACATACAACTGTGTGGTACATCTGTACTAACAACATACAACTGATAAGTACATACAACTGATTAGTACATCTGTACTAACAACCTACAACTGATTAGTACATCTGTACTAACAACATACAACTGATTAGTACATCTGTACTAACAACATACAACTGATTAGTACATCTGTACTAACAACATACAACTGATTAGTACATCTGTACATCTGTACTAACAACATACAACTGATTAGTACATCTGTACTAACAACATACAACTGATAAGTACATCTGTACTAACAACATACAACTGATAAGTACATCTGTACTAACAACATACAACTGTGTGGTACATCTGTACTAACAACATACAACTGATTAGTACATCTGTACTAACAACATACAACTGATTAGTACATCTGTACTAACAACATACAACTGATTAGTACATCTGTACTAACAACATACAACTGATTAGTACATCTGTACTAACAACATACAACTGATTAGTACATCTGTACTAACAACATACAACTGATACATCTGTAACAACATCTGTACATACTAACAACATACAACTGATTAGTACATCTGTACTAACAACATACAACTGATGTAGTACATCTGTACTAACAACATACAACTGATTAGTAACATCTGTACAACAACATACAACTGTTATACATCTGTACTAACAACATACAACTGTGTGGTACATCTGTACTAACAACATACAACTGTTTGGTACATCTGTACTAACAACATACAACTGATTAGTACATCTGTACTAACAACATACAACTGATTAGTACATCTGTACTAACAACATACAACTGATTGGTACATCTGTACTAACAACATACAACTGATTAGTACATCTGTACTAACAACATACAACTGATTAGTATGTCTGTACTAACAACATATAACTGTGTGGTACTTCTGTACTAACAACATACAACTTGCCTATTGATAAGGATTGTACTCCATTGTATGTATAAAAATAAAAAAAAGAAACAAACCTAAAATGGCTTCATGATCAAAGTGAGAGTTGTGTTCTCCGTGATCATCAAAGTGATGAGAATCTGACTGAACATGGTGACTGCCATGTTGGGCGTGCTCCTGATCGCCACAACTCTGGTAAGAACAGGCCAGTAACAGCATGGTATAAAACAGTAGCTTCATATCTGAAAGTTACAAATGGATATGAATATAATGTTGATGTTTTATGAAATCTGAATTACCCCAAATTAAACTGACCAGTGAGAATTTGACTCATTTACAGGTACATGTAATTATCAGCTATTACAGATGGTGTCTTTTGGAATTTCTGACAATGGACAGTGACACAGTTAAAAACTAAACAGTGGAGAGACCATGATAATAATACATGCTGACCTAAATAATGGCACGTGTACCATTCATGCTTACTGATCACTTTTCCAGTCTGATAACCTATATCATAGCTTTTAGTCAACTCTCTCTGAAATGACTATACCGGGTATGTTTCCATTCAAACCTTATTCATGTAAATGAACATATTTTTTAAAACAAGTTCTGAAATGTGAAAAAAAAATCAATAGTTGAACAGTTGATGGATTATACTTTTTTTTATGTAAAATGCAATTACCGGGTATGATGAAGAGTACTGTTACGGCACTCAACATTCCAACAGCTGTCATTAAAAATAACTGTCAGCTTGTATATATTTGAGAACTGATCAATCATTGGAGAAACCAAACAATACACGACCATTTAGAGAATCACAATTTTTCAAATGCATATCTAAGAAGAACATTTGTTTGGTTAAAATATTAACAACCAACAGAGTTACCTCCCTTCCCATAAGTCCTGCTTCATTATTGGATGGTCAGAAAACCAAAATGTGGAGACAAAATCTCACTTAACCAGACACTTAAAAATTTTACAAAGTAATGAGCTGGCTGAACAAGACTAGTAAAGAAAATGTGATGATCGAAATTTAGATTCTGTAATTTTGTACAAATAATAAGACTTGATTATCTCAAATCCAAGATTCTAGTTTTCAATTACATTTTTCAATGAAAACCACTGTGAGTAACACACCAAGATGCACAGCTGCACATCTTGTTATATTCTCACCAGACGGAGAAAAGTTATTTTCTGTCAGACCAACAAGTTAGGATGATTTGGATTTCAGCACTTTGGCAATACAAATATACTGGTACCAGGAGACAATTTACATAGTGTACATGTACTTTTGGACTGAGTGCATACAATTATAATTCCATATAACCCATTGACTAATCAATAATTACACACAACATAAGATTTACATTTGTACATCAACATGGAATGACTGTCGCTTTTTATTGGGTTTATATATAAGTTTATAGCGAGTGGAACAAGCGCTCTACAGTATTGTGTGTGGTAATTCAACCCCAACAAGCTGCCAATACAATCAACATTACATACAATACACTTACCTCATTATGAAATGAGAACTGCCAACCAATTGAATGGATTAAAAATAATTTTAAAAAACAAAATATCATTCTAAGCTTTCATGTGGAAATGAAATCATGCTAAAAGTCTTAAATAATTAAAATGAATTTAACAAATATATACTTTAATCGTTTGAAATGCATATAACAAATATCTCGTTGAAAAATTACAACTTTAACCATTCAAAATTTGAACACGATTGTGTTCCGATATACATGATTTCCGGTTTAATCTATGGGAACTTTTGTCACTTTTCATGAACGATAAACACATTGTCTCTAACATGGAAGCAGCCGAAAGGTCCCGATTTGGCATAAAACCTGCCCCATCTCCTAACTACATTCAAACTGCAAGATGTAGATATTCTTTCGATAACTGTTTGAAATTAATCATGATCAAGTATTTGAACATTTAGAAATTTTCCAGATAACACTTATAAGGCACAGTGATAAGATAACTATCAGTGTCAAGTTGTTGTTTTTTTGTCAGAAAAATGCAGTTTATGTAATATTGGTGACTTTAATAAGAAATTCATTTAAATATAAATATATTTCTATTGATTTTCTGAATTACAATGTATAACAGAAAGTCTCAGCAGTGTTTACAACTTAACCCTTTTTTTCTAACAAAAAAAGCAACATTGCTTAAGAAACAGCAGGTTCTAAAGCATTTTATGATTTCTTCATTAACAGAACGAATCTCTCAATAACAAAGAAAAAAGAAAATGGCGGATGAGAGTATTCTGATTTTAATGATGAAAACTGGTTAAACATATAACACCCCCTTTACAAATCCGACTAAAACTATATTGTCTTTCACCATATTTTGACTACAAACTCTTTTTTAAAGCAAAGATAATAGACAGTTCTCTCTGCAAACTCTATAACTTTGAAAGGGAAACTCTTGTACATTTATTTTGAAGATTTTTCTTTTTTATCAATTTTTGTTGTCTAGATATGTTATCAAAGACTTAATTTATACATTTTTTGTTACCATGAAAACAGATAACCCTCATCACAAATTTCGATTTTTCTGGCCCAGTGCTCTGAAACATTCAAGATAATTGCTCAAAATGTTTTACACTGATTAAACTAGTAGCATCTTTTGCTATGAGGAAATTCTCCATTTAAATACCATTTCTGTTACCATGGAAACAGATAGGCAAAATCACAAAGTTAAGTTTTTTAGACTAGTTCTCTTAAGCTGTATAAGTTAATTGCTCATTACTCAAAACTTTACACAGGTATAAAGCTAGTACTCATGTATAAGTTCTCTATTTCTATATCTTGAATGGAATAATTAAAGATAACAAATACAATCAAACTTGTTGTAATATTAACATATATATATGATTGTCTTCCTTTTAAACAGTGGGTCTAACTATGGGAGGAAACCTGTATTCTTTCAGGTAATCGAACCCTTGACGGCAAGGTGAAAAAGTGTCTCACAACTGCGGCATCAAACCACCACCTGATCAAGATGATGCATTGCTTTCTAGAAGAAGAATAACTTGTGCTCGCTTTTAGGCAGTGCCTATTTCATATTACATATATATGCCTTGTTCCACAGTAATCATAAATACTTTTGCAATGAGTTGGAAAACCATCTGCTCTTATTCTAAGGCTTTGCCTTTTTCGTATCACAAACCAGACAAAAACACGGGTGTTAAACAGTGGAAAAAAGGTAGCAACGCGTAAGCCGAAACCATTTTGAAAATAAATTTTAAAAACTTGGTCTAGGTCACCAAGCCTTCTAACTTCACCTCTTAATTTAGTGACCTCGACAAATAACTTGTCTCGCTAACTATAAGTTAGGATAACTTACTGTTCAACTATTGTACTCCTGTAGCGGGTTGCTTATTCTTTGTGTAGGACACGAGCGATCTCTGCTCTCACAGTTTATCTCCCTTCCGGTTCAATGTTTATTACACGTGGTAGATATAATCGTTATCATCAGATGCAAGTCAGTGTTTTGTATCAACATGCAACGTGGCTTATAGTGATTGATCAAAGGTGACAAATGATGACAGATCGCTCGTCAGCAGCCGGTCTTCACCGGAAGCGGAAGTACTTGTAGAGGGACAGGGGAGAAAACATTAAAGACGTTTTATAACAAAATTGCTAGGTTATATACAAACTTTGACTGAGAGGTGTATTTCAAGTAAAATCATTTTAAAATTTAATTTGATTATTTTTTATTTAATTGGACCAGCGTATGATGGTTGTACACGAAATGATTGAATGTGTAAGGGGATCCTACTCTTAAGGTGTCACTATACAGAAATAAAAGTCCATAGTTGATAAGATATTTCAAAAGTTGTACCTGACATTCACCGCCGTCAATGTTGTCCATATTTTGTCATAGTTTCACTGAATTTGAATCAGAATTAAATTTCTAATGGCATGTTGATAGGGTGTCGTAACGCGTCCCAGTACACCTCCGACATGCGTGCCCCGCCCCCTATTACAGTCGTTTCATTATTCCTACGGGCTATAGACATACTTCTTATGTACAGTCTGTTATATAGTCGACACATATTCCCCGGAGATCCTAATGCTATCTATGGGAGCAACATTAACATCGACACCGAAGTTCGGGAAAAATCTAGATGACATCAATCCGACACCATTACGGCAATATCTTATGAAAACGAAAAAGAACATGCTTACTAGTCCCAGGGACGTGCTAGTCCAGACACGGACTGGGTTTAGATTGATGTATTTGTATTACTGTACATGGCACATTTCCTTCCATTTCAAGGCAAGGATGCCATTTTCAAATAAAATAAATAAATAGATAAATAAATAAATAAAAAGAAGATTCCGTTTGCACGTATTATATTTTATTCAAGACTCACGCCGGTATGGAAATTAACAATTTCTACCTCTTAGCAGTTTCCGGAGTAGATTGCTTGTCTAATTAAATATACCCGATTTAATTACATGCATCTCATAAACACTCCTAGTTAAAATGTTTATATGACTGAAACTACGTTATAATAAAATACCTTAGTTTTCAGTAGAGAAATAATTCTGAATATTTCAACTTCTTCTGATGTTTACTGGTAAAAGAACGCTACGTATACATTGAGAAATATACCGAACACCTTCTCAAATTTTGCGTGGATTTTATTTTCATTGCCGATGACCTATACTATTACTCAGTTGTTATTCAAAAGTATTCAAAAAGAGATATATGCATCACCCAATTACGGTCAACTTACAAACGATAACCTACTGTTCTCGACATAACCGCTACCACAGGCAGAAGGTACTTTGTTGTTGGATGGGTATCTAAACACATATTAAATGCATTTTAACTCACTTGATTCTATTTCTGCAATTCTTTTTTGACAAAAAAAATATAACACCAATTTTGCAAATTGAGGCAGTATATCGAGGTTTTACTGTAGAAGTCATCTATCGACACCAACGCCCTCTGTGAATATTACAGTAAGTATTATATAATTACCCTACAAAGTCAGGCAATATAGACTTGTGTTGTTTAAGAAACAGAGTTGAGTCCTATCCAATTTACATAACATCAATGTTTAAGTGTAAAGCACTTAAGTCTGATGTCACTGTGCCCGTTGTGCGTTTTAATTAGGGAACCCCAGAGTTACCCGTCAGTGGTACTGGAGTGACACAAGGATGTATTACATACGGGACACGTTCATATTCACTTACTTATTGTATTTAATGAAGGGATCATGTAAGTATTGTATATGTTATCATTAATTTTTTTTTTCATTCTTCGTATGTTGGAGCAAAAGTTCATCTACAAAAATGGGACCGTTTTTTGTATGATGCGCTGGATGACGTTAAAACAGTCCACTGTTATAAATGTGAGTTATCTTGATATCTAGTTTTGATTAACAACTGAGGTTGTAGAGGCCATGTCTCAGAACTGCATGTTTGAAGACAAGGAGATGTAATAATGACACAGGATGGACAGGCTGCCTTTTATCAACATTAAGGATATGAACGAGTCTGTTTTAATATGCTCTATAAAAATAGATCATATGTTAAAACAACAATTTAGATAAACTCATTTTGGCATTGGAGATATATTTCATTTACTCATACGTTGACAGGAGTTTTCATAAGTCCAAATGATAAAAGCGGACAGTTTACATCGGAATCTGTATAGAATCAACTCAAATATTATGCCTTTAAAACAAAAACAGCGGAGTTTATTATAAACATCATAATTATGGTAGGTAGTCCATTGTTTACAACTGTTTTACTGTTCACATACCACCATAAAAAGAACGCTCTGTAACAGTAATTAATAAGTGCACAGAGGCTCGACAACAGTAACAGGATATAAATGACATACGGTACGATCACATACAGTGTATGGCTTATAGGGGGTAAAGGCCAGGCTTGTTATGTTGACAGAATTTTAGACTCCTTGTAGCACCTTCAGTTATTATAGGAAAAGTATATCGTCCAAAGAACAACAACCACGACAGTGTCGCCTTCACACAGACCAATTTATATCCCAATTTGTTTGTTGTGATCAAGGAAAATCACTTGGATTTTTCATGATAAACATTTACTGATGCTGGTAGATTTTACCACTTACTTATGTATAAAATTCAAGTTATATAGTTCAGCTGAAGTATTTGCAGATGCATCGTAGCTAAATGAAAATTCTTCTTCTTTAGCCGTGACTAACTCTACAATAAAACCAGGAACATGTGGCTGCTGCTAGTTTTCACAGAAGCAGTTTTCGTATGTATATTAGACGGCGATACGAATAACCACCGAAGTAACTCGAACATAGCTCTCAGAATTTGATAACAATATCTTGAGTTAATAGCAATATCCTGTCTGCTCAGATGTTCTGCTGTCGTGTATAAGCCTTTTTGGTATTAAATCATTACTTAACTGCTGGCTTTCCTACGTGTTCGTCCAAATCTTTATCTAATCTTGTTGTAACCAAAGCGGAGTTATAGTCCGAATATGGTTACGGTATTTACCTCAAAAATAGAATTATTCGAATGTGGAAATCGAAAAACTCCAAAGAGCTCCTGGTCAATCTTCAACACCCACTTCTGATAAGACAACTAAAAGAACATCTTACTATTTCCCCTCTTCACATTCCAAACTCCGCCATTATTTGGTTACAAGATATTTCTTTTCAGTATGGGGGAAGGTTGTAAACGTGTTGTTGTACACGATTGTTGTATACACTATCGTATATTTCGTTAAAAGGACGTCTAAGGACAAGATGAAATATGATGAGGCCGAATTCGTGAGAACTGTTAAATAATCGTTTAGTATGGTCTTAATAACGTTCAGCCATTGAGACTAACGGTGGCCTCTTGGGGTTGATTAGGTTTCACCAGAAGCTAAATATCAAAAACACTTATCAAAACAGGTCACAAGTCTGCCAATTCTGGTGAGATAGATAGTGTACCGATGATGTTCGGTCTAGAGACTCAGGAAATGGTCTGACCATGTTCGTTTTATACCAGTAAATACCCAACAGACTTCGAAGTCGATGACACGACAGTCTCTCCAACATCAACCGTTTACCTCGATCTTCACCTACAACACAACCACCAAGGACATAGTTCCAAAATTCATATGATAATTTCGAATTCTAGATAGTATCGCGCCTTTTCTACAACCAACTATGTTAACATGTCACAGTTTATTCGATATCCAATGTCTTGTTCTCCTTATCTCGGTTTCATTGAGAGATGGAAACAGCTGAAAGATACAATTGCATTATTTCAAGACGTGCAGATTACAACAGACTATAAAACATGATTGTCATAAGGAAAAAATACATCAAATTCTGCAAAAGAAGTTCGATGTGTTTGATAATCGTTTTCGTGCCTAAAGATTTCGTTGTAATTAACCTTGTTCTCATTTCAGAACGTAGTATTTCTTACTAAGACAGGTTTGGGTGAAATATCCAGGCTATATTCCTCCTTTGTCTACATGTCAATCTTTCTTTTGTTCACATTTATTACTTTATTATATATCTCGAGTTCGTGTTACGGTATTGTTCATATGTTGATATGTTCCTTTCTTTCAAAAGATGCGGGCATCTGTCCTGAAAACTGCGCTGCGAAGAGTTGTGATGACCCAGATGGCGGTTGTCCAAAATGCGAGAAGGAATGGTGGGGGCGTCAATGTAATAACCGTAGGTATTCTTTCTTTATCACGAGCTTAATTTTGTAACTTTACTTTGATACCTCGTATATACCCACCAGAACTGGAATTCAAAGATACGACTCTTCTACATCAGCTGCTTATCTCGATCTTTTCCTACAACGAGACCAACATGGACAGATTTCAATCAAACTGTATGATAAACATGATGATTTTTTTATTTCCCTAAAGTGAATTTTCCATTTCTGGATGGCAATATCCCTGCATCTCCAACCTTTCATACCTTTTATATGTCACAGTTGATTCGATATTCAAGGGCCTGTTCTCATTATCACGATCTTCGTGCAAGAAGTCGCCAGCTGACTTGCTATGCAGCATACAGCACCAAGCACAAAATGATATACATCAAGGACTATAGAGTTAATTGTTACAAAATGCAAAATCAGTTTCGATTGAAATTTTCACATCCATTGTTTATCTCTGGTTGTTCTACTGATGCTTTTTTGCGGATGTTAGTTATAAGAAATAGCAAATGGTGAACTTTAAATCACCATTATATTGCTATGGTAATTATATTTGATATTTTAACTCCTATATCTCTGCTGAGAGTTGATCTGATAACATATCTACTAGTATATAAACATATAAGTCAGATCTTCGCTACTACAAGTACATGTAATTAACTCTATAAGAATTCATCCAGGGATATCATGTTTCAGATGCTGAATTTGACAAAAATGTTATTTAATAACATGCATTATAAGCTTCCATTCAGTTGGTTAAACATTAATTTATTGCACTAGTGTCCTTTCTTAAAATAGATTATAACGATCCATTGGCATTGCTCGTTAACGTTAGGAAAACAGGCTTTAAAACTGAAACCAGTGAAATTATTGTAGTTTACCATTTATTCCATACTGTGGCGTCAGTCGTCCTTACGTCATTAATTTCTTCAACCGGCTTCTTCATATCTACTGATTGGAATTCACTTAAATTTATCCCTCATTTACAGTTGTACAATTGATGAGGCGTAACCCTAGAAAGTTGACGATGGGCTTAGCCTTAATGTAATGGCGTAATTTGGTTATAACATTAAGAAAAGTCCTGTACGCTAGATATCAATCAAACACTGGCTGGACCTACGAGATAAGGGACGAAACCGTAAGTAATGTTTAACTTGAAATCAGTTTACAACTGATGAGTATAAAGAAACTTGTGTTTCCAGGATGTCCCTAAGGTATATCTCTGCGCGTGTAGACCTTGCCACCAGGGTCATAATTTGAGTGACGGAGATTCCCAAACGCGTAACCACAAATACTATTGCTAGGCAAAAAGACGAAGGTGGTCATGAGCTGACTCTTTGGATTTGCCACAACTTGGTAACAGTATTGCTAGACCTGAACAATAAAATTCAGATCTGCTACAAAGATTTGGCTTTGGGTTCGGACCCAATCGAAGATATATACTCAACAAAAAAAGAAAGGTTAACATGTTTCCTTGGCGAATACCTGTAAATGAGAGAAAACAAAATGACGTTTGTGCAATATTAGAAAATGGTAATGTTTTACATTACAAAATCCAAGGGGGTTACCAAAATCATTCAAGCGTGAAAGTCTGTATTAACGAAAGAGCTGCACGAGGTTTTCTGCGACTAACTTGTATCTTCGCTTGAATTTTATAAACATTCAAACTGACAACTGTTCCTTAGATCCTTAGGACTTAGAAATCACCGAATCTTGCTATCTATCAACTTTATCATTATGCCCCGGCTGTCACAAGTACAGAGAGAAAGGGCTGTATGCATGATCCAGGCTGGGGAGTCTCGCCGTCGAGTTGCACGGCATTTTGTTTGCAGTGTTAAGACAATTTGCCAGTTGGTAAGTCGTTTAAACCAAACTGGGTCAACATCCGATCGTCCCCGAAGCGGCCGACCCCGTAAAACGACCGCCAGAGATGACCGTCGTATACGATTGATACACTTGCGCAATCGATTCGTAACCGCAGTAGAGACTACAAGGACATTGTTTGGGCGTCGTGTGTCTCCCCAAACAGTCCGCAACAGGTTGAGGGCCTACCAATTGAAAGCGCGGCGTCCCTACACTGGACCCAATTTGTTGCGACGTCACCGTAATAATCGGCGTAACTGGACCCGTGTTCACCGTCGTTGGGCCTTACAACAGTGGAACAATGTTCTGTTTTCAGAGGAGTCCAGGTTTTTGTCTGCAACACGGTGACGGAAGGCGCAGAGTGTGGAGGTGACGAGGGGAGCGTTTTGCGAACTGCTGCATCGCAGAACGGGACCGCTTTGTCGGCGGAAGTGTAATGGTTTGGGGTGGTATTTGTCGGGGGACTCGTACCAGGCTTGTTGTGTTAAATGGCAATTTAACCGGCATTCGATATCGGGACGAAATTTTAAGACCAGTGGTTCTGCCATTCTTAAGACGCCATGGCGTTGGCGGCATTTTTCAACAGGATAACGCACCAGCGAACACCTGTCGCGTCAGCAGAACTTTCTTGCAGCAGAATAACGTACAGGTGTTAGATTGGCCATCTAAATCACCTGATTTGTCACCGATTGAGCATGTCTGGGACGTTCTTGGGCGACGCGTGAGAGAACGTCAAAATCAGCCGTCAAACTGGCCCAAACCTTGATCGCTGAATGGAACAACATCTCTCCTCGAATTATCCGCCGGTTTACGAGTTTCATGCGACGACGCTGCAATGCTGTTTACTTCGCAAACGGTGGCCATACCCGTTACTAATGGTGTTACCTTTGAAATTGACCCCAACGTCCTTTACAGTCGAATAAAATCAAGTGAACGCAAAGTTTTATAATGAACCATGACTGCAGTTTTATCAGAATTTATCAATTACTTTATTCGTACATGATTGGTAAGGATTTATGAAGGGGTTGATTAATTAATCACAGAATAAAGTAGTGTTACCTTTCTTTTTTTGTTTAGTATATTGCTATACTTGTTTAGATACATGATAGTTATGTATCAGGGGGAGCGATACAAGAATACTGTTTCATTTTATTATTACCATCAAACGAATGTGAAATAAAATGTCTGTTATTGAGTGCTTTGTCAAATATTTAACTGCATACATGTATATCATTGATTATAAATACAAGACAGTGCTACCGTCACAAACAATATAAATACAAGACAGTGCTACCGTCACAAACAATATAAAATACAAGACATTGTTACCGTCACAAACAATATAAAATACAAGCCAACACAACCGCCACAAACAATATAAAATACAAGCCAACACAACCGTCACAAACAATATAAAATACAAGCCAACACAACCGCCACAAACAATATAAAATACAAGCCAACACAACCGTCACAAACAATATAAAATACAAGCCAACACAACCGTCACAAACAATATAAAATACAAGACAGTGCTACCGTCACAAACAATATAAAATACAAGCCAACACAACCGTCACAAACAATATAAAATACAAGACAACACAGCCGTCAAAAACAATATAAAATACAAGACAGTGCTGCCGTCACAAACAATATAAAATACAAGACAGTGCTACCGTCACAAACAATATAAAATACAAGACAGTGCTACCGTCACAAACAATATAAAATACAGGACAGTGTTACCGTCACAAACAATATAAAATACAAGCCAACACAACCGTCACAAACAATATAAAATACAAGACAACACAGCCGTCAAAAACAATATAAAATACAAGACAGTGCTGCCGTCACAAACAATATAAAATACAAGACAGTGCTACCGTCACAAACAATATAAAATACAAGACAGTGCTACCGTCACAAACAATATAAAATACAGGACAGTGTTACCGTCACAAACAATATAAAATACAAGCCAACACAACCGTCACAAACAATATAAAATACAAGACAGTGATACCGTCACAAACAATATAAAATACAAGACAACACTACCGTCACAAACAATATAAAATACAAGACAGTGATACCGTCACAAACAATATAAAATACAAGACAACACTACCGTCACAAACAATATAAAATACAAGCCAACACAACCGTCACAAACAATATAAAATACAAGACAGTGATACCGTCACAAACAATATAAAATACAAGCCAGTGCTACCGTCACAAACAATATAAAGTACAAGACAACACTACCGTCACAAACAATATAAAATACAAGACAGTGCTACCGTCACAAACAATATAAAATACAAGACAGTGCTACCGTCACAAACAATATAAAGTACAAGACAACACAACCGTCACAAACAATATAAAATACAAGACAACACTACCGTCACAAACAATATAAAATACAAGACAACACTACCGTCACAAACAATATAAAATACAATTTCTTTCTGAAGGGTTATAAGTTCGATTCCTGTACCGAATTAAAATGACATCATGCGTATTGGATCTTTCGTTTTGTCAACATATACTTTTTTCCTAAACAGAAGTAGGATCTGGTTACACGGAACTGGAGTTGGAATGCGAGTTCCGTATAAGATCGACTCATTTACAAAAGCTTTGGTAGTTTCTGTGTGTAAGGTTGTGGGTTCGACTCCTGTCCCGAATTAAGATAAGTTCATGTGCACCCGATTTTTGTATACGGTATTAGGAACTGAGAACCAACTTCAGGTTTCCTTTATTTGAATTGTTCACGAATATCGTCCACAGCAATGGGATGTTATTGGGCGGAGGATCCAGCCAAATACCGTGGGACAACATCCGTGACGGTCAGTGGGATTGTCTGTCAACAGTGGTCCAGTAGCATACCGCACAGTCACAGGTACAAAGACCTCACCCAAGGAGCTAAAAACTATTGTCGTAGTCCTGAAAACCACCCTGTTCCCTGGTGTTTGACGACTTACGGAAAGGTTGCACGACAGGATTGTGACGTGCCTCGTTGTGGTAAGTGGTCGACAACTACACTGTACTGAACATATTATAAAACCAGTTTATCATGATTTATTTATTACTAGATTTTATAAACTATTAATTGACTAGTTCAAACATTTTGACAATGTTTTATGTCATTAGAGTAACAATCATTTTATGATATTTTCTATAGTGTTGTTTTATTGGTAGGTTTGGCTCTACTGATCGTACTCTTTACATTGACAAGTATTTACACTTGGTTGTCTATTGTACAATATTAAATTAACTTGTCGAAATCTCTTGATAAAATTAGTTTTCTTATCAATGAATGCTTATAAATTATATATGATTATCGTTTATTGTATTCTTGCTGTTCAGTTTTTGGAAATTATCAAGATATTTGAGAATATTAGTCTCCATTTATTAAGCATGATAAACTTTCTTTAGATTCGAGGAAATTGTGTCCCGTGCCGACGTTTCCTGTCCAAAAAGTTCTACCGGAAGGAGTTCCCTTTACGAAGCCATTCTTCTCAGGGACATCTTTGCGCGTGGTGATTTCTTGTGGAACTCTTCAGAAAGAGGCTACGATATGGTGTTTGTCCAATCAGATGTGGGCTTCTTCCGGAGGCTGTACAGGTGTGTTGTGATTCCTAATCGAGTCCAATTAAATCGGTGTGTTGAAGAGTTCGTCACTGGTTGTCGTTGTGTCTATATATACCAGTGGAGATTTGCTATTCTGATTGATTACGTCATCACCAAGTTCCTTACTTCATGCCTGATGGTGACGGGTGTTTTGTTCATTGTTCGTGTTCACACAATACAAAAGCAACACATAACACAAACAATATATAAGTCTGTTACATATAATTCTGAAGTTACATGTATACATTAGATATTTTAATGTGGAATCTTAAGCTTTAAGATCATCATCATAGTCTAATAAGAGAAACTACCTTTATCAGCGGTTTTCTTTCTTAAAACATACGCTTGTTCTCGGTTTTGTCTTGGGAGCCAATACAATTCAAAATTGTAAAACATTTTTTGTCTTAAAACCTTGATTATTGAAGATACCTTTTCAAATTGTCAAAAATGTCCGTTTTATAGCATCATCGATCAGGTGATAAAAAGTAGCACTTGTTAATAAGGTTTCTCTTTCACTTATAAACTTATTTATTTTAACAACAACGAAACAGCTTATACTAATCACTCTAGTTTGCCCGGATGTAAGCGCACAAGGGGTCTTACTGAGGGAGGAAACCGCAATACCCTTGGAAAACCCACGTGGCAGGTGACACCATACCTTTTCCAGGAATCGAACCCAGGACGGCTAGGGGAAAGGCGAATGCGTTACCACGGCGCTACCCGACCACCCTATTCTCTTTTCTCATTAGCTCGTGAAAAGTTCGGTGAAATCTGACATTCTTAGATTCGTTTTAAAAATCACTTTATCAAATAAGTAACTAGTTAAACATAGGTAAACATGTGATTTCTTTGTACCAGACCTGGTTGCCTATTGTCCAAGACCAGCTTTAGAGAGGAACACTTACATTTTTAATGACCACGACTCCGTCTATCGCCACAACGACACTATCGATATTCGCTGTCTGGAAGGTTTTACAATACAAGGTTCTGGTACTCTAGAATGTCAGGAAGACGGCACCTGGAATGGTACTCTACCTACCTGTTATATGAATGGTAATCACTGCTTGTCCTATTTGTTTTATTCCAAAATAAATTCATTTTATTTGTTTTTTTAAAACAAAATGACAAAAATAATTGTGTACAAATTCGTGTATACCTGAACGTGTTGCTATCTTAAATATTTTATTTATAATCTAGAATATAAATAACCATTATAGGATTGATCAAACACGAATCAATGTAATGAATCTTCACATCTGAAGCGTAAATGGAACTTTCCTCCATCCATAATGAAAAGAAAGTTTGCAGGTATGCTGAATTCAGAGACCTATGTGGCTTTGCGCTTTCTATATAACTAATATTACAAGGATGAAAAACTTTTCTAATTCACTTTATTGTCAAATAGATATATTTAGCTACCTTTATTTTGCAATTTTTCGTGACTTTTGATGAAACATTTTTGAGATCTTGTTAATTTTGAATACAGACATAGTTCAGTATATACGGTATGAGCGCTGTCCCCTGTATTTAACAATTTCATCACAATATGTAGGACATAATTGATAACATTTGAAGGAATAAACGTTTCGAAATACATTAGATGAACATTTTAAACATTACATTATCTACATCCGCTTAATGTTTGAAAATGAAACAGATATGAATTTGAAACATAACAGTATAGTAGCATATCTTCTGACCAAATCAATACCATGCCAATCACTGGTAACGTTAACGAATATCGGTTATTGATTACAAACACCCTAATCCACCAACATATAATGAAAACAACATACCAAATAATCTGAGTTATACCTGAATATAGTAATGTAAATATGGATGATTATCCCTGTATCTTCGGAGCAATGTTGTATTACTGATGCTTATCACATAAATTATCATTGTGATCAGTAACATGTTAGTGTAGTAAAACCACTGTAATCTTCCACTACTGAACACGATTTGTAATGATTTACTTAAAGGCAGTAATTTATGTCCATCAATGTGCGAGGATGATCTCAGTTGTGACAACGAAGACAGAGGGTGTCCGAAGTGTAAACCGACAAGATGGGGTCGACACTGTGAATATTGTAAGTAAATATCCCCACCATTTTATTTTTTGTATTTATGGATGCAGGGGACTGCAACAAAACTAGTCCCGGCAGTAGATTCTGTAGGGAATTTGTCCAATCCCGGAAGCAAATTTTATCAAAGAAAAAATATGAAAATTCAACAATTCTGTACAACATCTAAGCAGCGTTTTGATAATTTTTTCCAACATATCATTTTATTACTATTTTACAGATATGGAATGTTACAACACAGATAGAGGATCAGATTACAGGGGTATACATAACAGGACAGCGGATGGTCTTCTCTGTCAGAACTGGAATAGCAGAGTTCCTCACAAACATCCGTTTGGTGATAGAGTGGACGACGGGGCAGCTAACTATTGCCGTAACCCAGACCTAGAACCTTCTCCATGGTGTTACACGACCAACCCTAACGTCCGCTGGAAACGTTGCAATGTGCCAAAATGTGGTAAATAACTGATGATGTACTGCTCATCTTTTTATTTCATGACATTTTTCGTGTCACAGTGCGATTACTTCCGTGTTTCTTTTGACATGCTTTATAATGGTGCACCAGAAAGATAAATGAGTAATGTCTTTTAACACAATAATTATATAGTAAAGTCAGAATTAAACTGCATCATACAACTGTTTCGTCCTTCTGAAACTCATCGGAGATACTTACGGCCAAAATTGTTGAAGCCTAGGAAGTGACACATTGACTCAGCATCACTGACAAGTCCTAGAAAGACGAAGCAGCTTAGGATGTAGCATCAATGACGAGTCCTAGAAAGACGAAGCAGCTTAGGATGTAGCATCAATGACGAGTCCTAGAAAGACGAAGCAGCTTAGGATGTAGCATCAATGACGAGTACTAGAAAGACCAAACAACTGTTTAACGTATCACCACTGACGAGTCACAGAAAGACGAAACAGCTGTATGATGTAGCATCAATGACGAGTCACAGAAAGACGAAACAACTGTATGATGTAGCATCACTGACGAGTTCTAGAGGGACAAACAGCTGTAAGACGTAACATCACTGACGAGTCACAGAAAGACGAAACAGCTGTATGATGTAGCATCAATGACGAGTCACAGAAAGACGAAACAGCTGTATGATGACTGACGAGTTCTAGAGGGACAAACAGCTGTATGACGTAACATCACTGACGAGTCCTAGAAAGACGAAGCAGCTGTATGATGTAGCATCACTGACGAGTCCTAGAAAGACGAAACCACTGTATGATGTAGCATCAATGACGAGTCCTAGAAAGACGAAATAGCTGTATGATGTAGCATCAATGACGAGTCCTAGAAAGACGAAACAGCTGTATGATGTAGCATTAATGACGAGTCACAGAAAGACGAAACAGCTGTATGATGTAGCATCAATGACGAGTCACAGAAAGACGAAACAGCTGTATGATGTAGCATCAATGACGAGCCCAAGAAAGACGAAACAACTGTTTAACGTATCACCACTGACGAGTCACAGAAAGACGAAACAACTGTATGATGTAGCATCAATGACGAGTCACAGAAAGACGAAATAGCTGTATGATGTAGCATCAATGACGAGCCCTAGAAAGACGAAACAGCTGTATGACATAGCATCACTGACGAGTTCTAGAGGGACAAACAGCTGTAAGACGTAAAATCACTGACGAGTCCTAGAAAGACGAAGCAGCTGTATGATGTAGCATCACTGACGAGTCCTAGAAAGACGAAGCAGCTGTATGATGTAGCATCACTGACGAGTCCTAGAAACACGAAACCGCTGTATGATGTAGCATCAATGACGAGTCCTAGAAAGACGAAACCACTGTATGATGTAGCATCAATGACGAGTCCTAGAAAGACGAAACAGCTGTACGATGTAGCAACAATGACGAGTCCTAGAAAGACGAAACAACTGTTTAACGTATCACCACTGACCACTGACGAGTCACAGAAAGACGAAATAGCTGTATGATGTAGCATCAATGACGAGTCACAGAAAGACGAAACAGCTGTATGATGTAGCATCATTGACGAGACCTAGAAAGACGAAACAGCTGTATGGCATAGCATCACTGACGAGTTCTAGAAAGACGAAACAGCTGTACGATGTAGCAACAATGACGAGTCCTAGAAAGACGAAACAACTGTTTAACGTATCACCACTGACGAGTCACAGAAAGACGAAACAGCTGTATGGTGTAGCATCAATGACGAGTCCTAGAAAGACGAAACCGCTGTATGATGTAGCATCAATGACGAGTCACAGAAAGACGAAATAGCTGTATGATGTAGCATCAATGACGAGCCCTAGAAAGACGAAACAGCTGTATGACATAGCATCACTGACGAGTTCTAGAGGGACAAACAGCTGTAAGACGTAAAATCACTGACGAGTCCTAGAAAGACGAAGCAGCTGTATGATGTAGCATCACTGACGAGTCCTAGAAACACGAAACCGCTGTATGATGTAGTATCAATGACGAGTCCTAGAAAGACGAAACAGCTGTACGATGTAGCAACAATGACGAGTCCTAGAAAGACGAAACAACTGTTTAACGTATCACCACTGACCACTGACGAGTCACAGAAAGACGAAATAGCTGTATGATGTAGCATCAATGACGAGTCACAGAAAGACGAAACAGCTGTATGATGTAGCATCAATGACGAGTCACAGAAAGACGAAACAGCTGTATGATGACTGACGAGTTCTAGAGGGACAAACAGCTGTATGACGTAACATCACTGACGAGTCCTAGAAAGACGAAGCAGCTGTATGATGTAGCATCACTGACGAGTCCTAGAAAGACGAAACCACTGTATGATGTAGCATCAATGACGAGTCCTAGAAAGACGAAATAGCTGTATGATGTAGCATCAATGACGAGTCCTAGAAAGACGAAACAGCTGTATGATGTAGCATTAATGACGAGTCACAGAAAGACGAAACAGCTGTATGATGTAGCATCAATGACGAGTCACAGAAAGACGAAACAGCTGTATGATGTAGCATCAATGACGAGCCCAAGAAAGACGAAACAACTGTTTAACGTATCACCACTGACGAGTCACAGAAAGACGAAACAACTGTATGATGTAGCATCAATGACGAGTCACAGAAAGACGAAATAGCTGTATGATGTAGCATCAATGACGAGCCCTAGAAAGACGAAACAGCTGTATGACATAGCATCACTGACGAGTTCTAGAGGGACAAACAGCTGTAAGACGTAAAATCACTGACGAGTCCTAGAAAGACGAAGCAGCTGTATGATGTAGCATCACTGACGAGTCCTAGAAAGACGAAGCAGCTGTATGATGTAGCATCACTGACGAGTCCTAGAAACACGAAACCGCTGTATGATGTAGCATCAATGACGAGTCCTAGAAAGACGAAACCACTGTATGATGTAGCATCAATGACGAGTCCTAGAAAGACGAAACAGCTGTACGATGTAGCAACAATGACGAGTCCTAGAAAGACGAAACAACTGTTTAACGTATCACCACTGACCACTGACGAGTCACAGAAAGACGAAATAGCTGTATGATGTAGCATCAATGACGAGTCACAGAAAGACGAAACAGCTGTATGATGTAGCATCATTGACGAGACCTAGAAAGACGAAACAGCTGTATGGCATAGCATCACTGACGAGTTCTAGAAAGACGAAACAGCTGTACGATGTAGCAACAATGACGAGTCCTAGAAAGACGAAACAACTGTTTAACGTATCACCACTGACGAGTCACAGAAAGACGAAACAGCTGTATGGTGTAGCATCAATGACGAGTCCTAGAAAGACGAAACCGCTGTATGATGTAGCATCAATGACGAGTCACAGAAAGACGAAATAGCTGTATGATGTAGCATCAATGACGAGCCCTAGAAAGACGAAACAGCTGTATGACATAGCATCACTGACGAGTTCTAGAGGGACAAACAGCTGTAAGACGTAAAATCACTGACGAGTCCTAGAAAGACGAAGCAGCTGTATGATGTAGCATCACTGACGAGTCCTAGAAACACGAAACCGCTGTATGATGTAGTATCAATGACGAGTCCTAGAAAGACGAAACAGCTGTACGATGTAGCAACAATGACGAGTCCTAGAAAGACGAAACAACTGTTTAACGTATCACCACTGACCACTGACGAGTCACAGAAAGACGAAATAGCTGTATGATGTAGCATCAATGACGAGTCACAGAAAGACGAAACAGCTGTATGATGTAGCATCAGCTGTATGATGTAGCATCAATGACGAGTCCTAGAAAGACGAAACAGCTGTATGATGTAGCATCAATGACGAGTCACAGAAAGACGAAACAGCTGTATGATGTAGCATCAATGACGAGCCCTAGAAAGACGAAACAGCTGTATGGCATAGCATCACTGACGAGTTCTAGAAAGACGAAACAGCTGTATGATGTAGCAACAATGACGAGTCCTAGAAAGACGAAACAACTGTTTAACGTATCACCACTGACGAGTCACAGAAAGACGAAACAGCTGTATGGTGTAGCATCAATGACGAGTCCTAGAAAGACGAAACCGCTGTATGATGTAGCATCAATGACGAGTCCTAGAAAGACGAAACAGCTGTATGATGTAGCATCAATGACGAGTCCTAGAAAGACGAAACAGCTGTATGATGCAGCATCAATGACGAGTCCTAGAAAGACGAAACCACTGTATGATGTAGCATCAATGACGAGTCCTAGAAAGACGAAACCACTGTATGATATAGCATCAATGACGAGCCCTAGAAAGACGAAACATATATATAATGAAGTTTAATTCATTTTTGGCTCTATTGCATCCAGCTCTGAATTTGTATTAAATGGTGCTATTCACTTGAGTGTTTTTGTAAAATCTTTTTCAAACTATAAGGCGTTTCTGAGACAGCAGAATAAATGTGTGACAATGTTTTTCTTTAATATGAATATTTCGTATGTATTTATATCATGAGGTATTGTACATCAACATTTAGATTTAATGGTTGGTTCGAGTATTTTGGGAGGAGGGCATTGTATTACCATTTTTCAGCCCATACTTCTGATACAGCTATACAAATAGCTGTTTCTGACAATTACATTTAAATGTATTGAAGATCATTTTCCGGGGGGGGGGGGGGGGGGGGGGGAATCCATGAAATGCAGCACTGTTTTCAGACCATTTCGTAGAACATTGTTTGAAACAATAAAAACAACGAAAGTTATATCAATATACAATTATATATAAAAACATAAAATGTGGTGAACACTTTGAGGACGTATTTCAGGGATTGTCATAATGTCATTTAGATAGGATTTTTTTTTTATTAATTAAGACATTTTTCTCTGTTTATTATTGCCAAGAATGATATATAATTACTGATCACGTTTTTACTAAAAGCGCTTGACGTGGTTATGTTTATTGTAGACACTGTGTGCCAGCCTCCTGAGATGTCTATGTACAGCCATCTAACAGAAGTTACGTCAAGCCCATTCAGTGTGGGTTACGAACTGTTTATAAATATGACGTGTGACGGCAAAAACGTAACCATGGTTACCAGGTGTCAGTCGGATTTGACTTGGTCACACAATGTGTCTTGTGATGGTAAGACTCAGATTTATAAATATTGATTTTCTTTTTTTCTCGTGTATTTTCATAATCAGTCCAATGTTATGGTATGTTTCGGACTGCAGACAAAACACGCATTCAGAATGTATAGAAAGAAGATCTGTACGGACTCCAGAAAAAAACACACATACAGTATGTATAGAAATAAGATCTGTACGGACTCCAGACAAAACATACATACAGTATGTATAGAAATAACATCTGTACGGACTCCAGACAAAACATACATACAGTATGTATATCAATAAGATCTGTACGGACTCCAGACAAAACACACATACAGTATGTATAGAAATAAGATATGTACGGACTCCAGACAAAACACACATACAGTATTATATCAATAAGATATGTACGGACGGCAGACAAAACAAACATACAGTGTTATATCAATAAGATATGTACGGACGGCAGACAAAACAAACATACAGTATGTATAGAAATATGATCTGTACGGACTCCAGACAAAACACACATACAGTATTATATCAATAAGATATGTACGGACGGCAGACAAAACAAACATACAGTGTTATATCAATAATATATGTACGGACGGCAGACAAAACAAACATACAGTATGTACAGAAATATGATCTGTACGGACTCAAGACAAAACACACATACAGTTTTATATCAATAAAATATGTACGGACGGCAGACAAAACAAACATACACTGTTATATCAATAAGATATGTACGGACGACAGACAAAACAAACATACAGTATGTATAGAAATAAGATATGTACGGACTCTAGACAAAACACACATACAGTATTATATCAATAAGATATGTCCGGACGGCAGACAAAACAAACATACAGTGTTATATCAATAAGATATGTACGGACGGCAGACAAAACAAACATACAGTATGTATAGAAAGAAGATCTGTACGGACTCCAGACAAAACACACATACAGTATATACAGAAATAAGATCTGTACGGACTCCAGACAAAACACACATAGAGTATGTATAGAAATAAGATCTGTACGGACTCCAGACAAAACAAACATACAGTATTATATCAATAAGTTATGTACGGACGGCAGACAAAACAAACATACAGTACGTATAGAAATAAGATCTGTACGGACTCCAGACAAAACACACATACAGTGTTATATCAATAAGATATGTACGGACGGCAGACAAAACAAACATACAGTGTTATATCAATAAGATATGTACGGACGGCAGACAAACTAAAGAATTTGTAAAAGCCAACGTTACCTGCTTCTTCGATTTGAAAAATGTGTTAAGAGCCAAATGCTATGATTTTGTAGATATTGGGAAAACTGTACAGAAACACCTACTTGTTGGCATTGTCAGTAGAGAAGTAGTGGAAGTGAATCTGCATGTGTCATAAACTAACATAATAATAATCTGTTCATTTTGATTCTATAAACCACTATTATTTTCACAGCCGTCCATTGTGGGCGTCCTACTCTAAATAAGGACAGTTTCATCGTTAGAGACCGCTCTAGTAGACTGTACGCTCAGTACGACACGATTGAGGTTCGATGTCCCGTTGGGTTTATTCAGGGAGGTCAACATTTGTTCCAGTGTCAGGCAGACCGTACCTGGAACGGCAGTATGCCGACTTGTGACGGTACTGTAAATAAGCACCTTTCTGCGATGATAATTAACATAGGATTGCCCACCTGAGATGGTACTTCACACAAGCATGTCAACATGTATTGGTTTTTTACATAAGTATGCCGATGCAATGGAACTTAACACAAGCATGTCTACCTGTGATGGTACTTAACACAAGTAGTCTTCTTGCGATGGTTCTTTACACAAGCTTGCCTCTCTGCAATGGCACTTTACATAAGCATGCCGATGCAATGGAACTTAACACAAGATGTCTACCTACGATGGTACTTTACATAAGCATGCCGACGCAATAGTACTTTACACACGCTTGCCTACCTGCGATGGTACTTTACATAAGCATGCCGACGCAATGGTACTTTACACAAACTTGCCTACCTGCGATGGTACTTTACATAAGCATGCCGACGCAATGGTACCTTACACAAACTTGCCTACCTGCGATGGTACTTTACATAAGCATGCCGATGCAATGGTACTTTACACAAGCATGTCTACCTGCGGTAGTACTTTACACTAGTTCTCATCATATTACAGCGTTAGCTTGCATGTATGATCAATGATTAACAGTGAAAACCTTTTGACTAACCACACTACGACTTTTATATATAGCGAAGATAAACCGGATCGTTTCACAATTAAAATAACATTATTACACATTTTTTGAAATAGTTTGAAATACTGTTCACTATTATTATATAAAAAATTTCTCGCCGGAGTAATTTCACATGCAAATCTGCTATTGTTGAAAAGAACTTGGTCTGATACGTTTAGAAGGCGTATTTTCGATGAGCATGCTGGTTCAGTATTTTGATAAAATATATATATGTGTATGAAAAGAAATCAATTTCCTTAAATTTACACTCTGAAGGAGGTACCTGTCCACCCAAGTGCGCGAAAGGTGTTCCCTGTACGGAGGCTGACAGGGCGTGTCCACGTTGTTCTCCTGGATATTGGGGCCGACACTGCCAGTATCGTAAGTATGCACTGTATATTTATCAACGAATCCTGAAAATAAAAATACTTTTTCGGCACAAAAAACATCAACATAGGAACTACCGAAACAAGAGGAAACATACGGAACTTTAGCGGAATCTTTAGTTAAACTAGCTTGTTCAGTTACAGCTTCATTGTCAATACACTATTTTTAAAATCTCAGTACGGTCCAATGTACATGGCTTCGATATCTCACATACATCACAGGCTGATCCTGTGGTTGTTAGATATAACTCTATCTCACATACATCACAGACTGATCCTGTGGTTGTTAGGGGTAACTCTATCTCACATACATCACAGACTGATCCTGTGGTTGTTAGGGGTAACTCTATCTCACATACATCACAGACTGATCCTATGGTTGTTAGATATAACTCTATCTCACATACATCACAGACTGATCCTGTGGTTTTTAGGGGTAACTCTATCTCACATACATCACAGATTGATCCTGTGGTTGTTAGATATAACTCTATCTCACATACATCACAGACTGATCCTGTGGTTGTTAGGAGTAACTCTATCTCACATACATCACAGACTGATCCTGTGGTTGTTAGATATAACTCTATCTCACATACATCACAGATTGATCCTGTGGTTGTTAGGGGTAACTCTATCTCACATACATCACAGACTGATCCTGTGGTTGTTAGATATAACTCTATCTCACATACATCACAGATTGATCCTGTGGTTGTTAGGGGTAACTCTATCTCACATACATCACAGATTGATCCTGTGGTTGTTAGATATAACTCTATCTCACATACATCACAGATTGATCCTGTGGTTGTTAGGGGTAACTCTATCTCACATACATCACAGACTGATCCTGTGGTTGTTAGATATAACTCTATCTCACATACATCACAGACTGATCCTGTGGTTGTTAGGGGTAACTCTATCTCACATACATCACAGGCTGATCCTGTGGTTGTTAGGGGTAACTCTATCTACTCTATCTCACATACATCACAGGCTGATCCTGTGGTTGTTAGGGGTAACTCTATCTCACATACATCACAGATTGATCCTGTGGTTGTTAGGGGTAACTCTATCTCACATACATCACAGACTGATCCTGTGGTTGTTAGGGGTAACTCTATCTCACATACATCACAGACTGATCCTGTGGTTGTTAGATATAACTCTATCTCACATACATCACAGATTGATCCTGTGGTTGTTAGGGGTAACTCTATCTCACATACATCACAGATTGATCCTGTGGTTGTTAGATATAACTCTATCTCACATACATCACAGATTGATCCTGTGGTTGTTAGGGGTAACTCTATCTCACATACATCACAGACTGATCCTGTGGTTGTTAGATATAACTCTATCTCACATACATCACAGACTGATCCTGTGGTTGTTAGGGGTAACTCTATCTCACATACATCACAGGCTGATCCTGTGGTTGTTAGGGGTAACTCAATCTACTCTATCTCACATACATCACAGGCTGATCCTGTGGTTGTTAGGGGTAACTCTATCTCACATACATCACAGATTGATCCTGTGGTTGTTAGGGGTAACTCTATCTCACATACATCACAGACTGATCCTGTGGTTGTTAGGGGTAACTCTATCTCACATACATCACAGACTGATCCTGTGGTTGTTAGATATAACTCTATCTCACATACATCACAGACTGATCCTGTGGTTGTTAGGGGTAACTCTATCTCACATACATCACAGACTTATCCTGTGGTTGTTAGGGGTAACTCTATCTCACATACATCACAGACTGATCCTGTGGTTGTTAGGGGTAACTCTATCTCACATACATCACAGGCTGATCCTGTGGTTGTTAGGGGTAACTCTATCTCACATACATCACAGACTGATCCTGTGGTTGTTAGGGGTAACTGTATCTCACATACATCACAGACTGATCCTGTGGTTGTTAGATATAACTCTATCTCACATACATCACAGACTGATCCTGTGGTTGTTAGATATAACTCTATCTCACATACATCACAGACTGATCCTGTGGTTGTTAGATATAACTCTATCTCACATACATCACAGACTGATCCTGTGGTTGTTAGATATAACTCTATCTCACATACATCACAGACTGATCCTGTGGTTGTTAGATATAACTCTATCTCACATACATCACAGACTGATCCTGTGGTTGTTAGATATAACTCTATCTCACATACATCACAGACTGATCCTGTGGTTGTTAGATATAACTCTATCTCACATACATCACAGACTGATCCTGTGGTTGGTAGGGGTAACTCTATCTCACATACATCACAGGCTGATCCTGTGGTTGTTAGATATAACTCTATCTCACATACATCACAGACTGATCCTGTGGTTGTTAGGGTTAGCTCTATCTCACATACATCACAGATTGATCCTGTGGTTGTTAGATATAACTCTATCTCACATACATCACAGACTGATCCTGTGGTTGTTAGGGGTAACTCTATCTCAAATACATCACAGATTGATCCTGTGGTTGTTAGGGGTAACACTATCTCACATACATCACAGATTGATCCTGTGGTTGTTAGATATAACTCTATCTCACATACATCACAGATTGATCCTGTGGTTGTTAGGGGTAACTCTATCTCACATACATCACAGACTTATCCTGTGGTTGTTAGGGTTAGCTCTATCTCACATACATCACAGACTGATCCTGTGGTTGTTAGGGGTAACTCTATCTCACATACATCACAGACTGATCCTGTGGTTGTTAGGGGTAACTCTATCTCACATACATCACAGACTGATCCTGTGGTTGTTAGGGGTAACTCTATCTCACATACATCACAGACTGATCCTGTGGTTGTTAGGGGTAACTCTATCTCACATACATCACAGACTGATCCTGTGGTTGTTAGGGGTAACTCTATCTCACATACATCACAGACTGATCCTGTGGTTGTTAGGGGTAACTCTATCTCAAATACATCACAGATTGATCCTGTGGTTGTTAGGGGTAACACTATCTCACATACATCACAGATTGATCCTGTGGTTGTTAGATATAACTCTATCTCACATACATCACAGATTGATCCTGTGGTTGTTAGGGATAACTCTATCTCACATACATCACAGACTTATCCTGTGGTTGTTAGGGTTAGCTCTATCTCACATACATCACAGACTGATCCTGTGGTTGTTAGGGGTAACTCTATCTCACATACATCACAGACTGATCCTGTGGTTGTTAGGGGTAACTCTATCTCACATACATCACAGACTGATCCTGTGGTTGTTAGGGGTAACTCTATCTCACATACATCACAGACTGATCCTGTGGTTGTTAGGGGTAACTCTATCTCACATACATCACAGACTGATCCTGTGGTTGTTAGGGGTAACTCTATCTCACATACATCACAGACTGATCCTGTGGTTGTTAGGGGTAACTCTATCTCACATACATCACAGACTGATCCTGTGGTTGTTAGGGGTAACTCTATCTCACATACTTCTCCGACTTCACACACTAGGATGTATAGTAAAAAAAGCGTCATCAGTTTACATAGCATAGTCATTTCGCTAACTGATTTTATAAACTGTGACATTGATAATGGCGCGATTGATAGGTTTCAAAACAACGTACAATTTCCAACTTTCTTAATAATTTAAGGAAAATTGTCAAACACGGGTATCCAAAATGGACAGGATATCTTAGCACGCGTGTCAGAGGTCAGAGTTTATATTAAGTCCTGTTATTCTTGGTCGAGAGGGGTTGTTATCGAAGATCTCTCGACTTCTCTCATGCTGCCGCTATAAGAATCATTGGCCTAATTATCTGCCTCTAATTGTCCTTGTGTTTTACGTTGTTTCAGCACTTGAATGTTATGTTAACCGTGGAGCGAACTACAGGGGCACAGTTAGCATAACTGTAAGTGGCCGAAAGTGTCAATCATGGAATTCGACATCACCTCACAAGCACAGACTAAAGCTGCCCAACTCCGAAAACTTTTGTCGAAATCCGGACAATGAACCGAAACCATGGTGTTATACTGTAGACCCGAGGAGGCGATGGGAAGTCTGTCCAGTCCCGAGATGCAGTAAATATATTTCTCTTCGGTTGTTTTTATCACAACATAAAAATAAATGTTAACAAGAAAACGAGTTACGGTTTCAGGACAAATATTATATATGATAATGTGTACTACATTATACATGTATCATGCACGTGACAGTTAAAGGCAAACCATCTATTTGATACTAAACATCGGCACATCATCAGGATAAACAACCGCACAATTTACCGCACAACTAAGCGAGATCATCGTGGACTTGTGCAGGGGATATGCGAACACTAGACACACACTTTTCCTCGTGCCACGCGCGTTCCCACAACTGTAAGCCGAAAACGACGCTAAGTATATATAAGTAAATATGAGATAGCTTTACGTATGGTATAAATGTGATACGTTTATAATTCATCATGAATGTTTGACTAGATGATGGTGCCGTGTGTCCTCCCCCGGAGTTGCCTATGTATTCCAGCGTGGCGTCACCCATGGACAGCGTGTTTTACACAGGTTCCACTATAATGGTAAACCTAACGTGTGGAGGCACGTATGAACTGGTCAACATCATTTGTGAGTCCAATAGAAAATGGACAATGGATCGACTGTCCTGTTCTGGTATGTATCGTCAGAAATATAGGTTTCACTGCTGTAAAACTAATGATAATTTTAATATGACACATGTCGTTCATATCTATCAACTTGGTCGTTTTGTACCTATTTTTTCGCACAGCATTGTATTCAATACGGTTATCGACAGAAATTTAATTCAAACAAAATTTGTAATCGTTTACTATTTGCTAAACACAAAATATACTAGACTTTCCAAATCTGTATCAGCAACATGTTTCCGCGGTTTTTGTGACAGTCCTACATTGAGATGTATATATTGTTTCAGTAATTTTTGTGACAGTCCTACACTGAGATGTATATATTGTTTCAGCGGTCTTTTGTGACAGTCCTACACTGAGATGTATATACTGTTTCAGCGGTCTTTTGTGACAGTCCTACATTGAGATGTATATATTGTTTCAGTAATTTTTGTGACAGTCCTACACTGAGATGTATATATTGTTTCAGTAATTTTTGTGACAGTCCTACACTGAGATGTATATATTGTTTCAGCGGTCTTTTGTGACAGTCCTACACTGAGATGTATATACTGTTTCAGCGGTCTTTTGTGACAGTCCTACACTGAGATGTATATATTGTTTCAGCGGTCTTTTGTGACAGTCCTACACTGAGATGTATATATTGTTTCTGTAGTTTTTGTGACAGTCCTACAATGAGATGTATATATTGTTTCTGTAGTTTTTGTGAAAGTCCTACACAGAGATGTATATATTGTTTCAGCGGTCTTTTGTGACAGTCCTACACTGAGATGAATATATTGTTTCAGCGGTCTTTTGTGACAGTCCTACACTGAGATGTATATATGGTTTCAGTGGGTTTTTGTGACAGTCCTACACTGAGATGTATATATTATTTCAGCGGTCTTTTGTGACAGTCCTACACTGAGATGTATATATTGTTTCAGCGGTCTTTTGTGACAGTCCTACACTGAGATGTATATATTGTTTCAGCGGTCTTTTGTAACAGTCCCACACTGAGATGTATATATTGTTTCAGCGGTCTTTTGTGACAGTCCTACACTGAGATATATATATTGTTTCAGTAGTTTTTGTAACAGTCCTATACTGAGATGTATTTATTGTTTCTGTAGTTTTTGTGACAGTCCTACACTGAGATGTATATATTGTTTCAGCGGGTTTTTGTGACAGTCCTACACTGAGATGTATATATTGTTTCAGCGGTCTTTTGTGACAGTCCTACACTGAGATGTATATATTGTTTCAGCGGTCTTTTGTGACAGTCCTACACTGAGATGTATATATTGTTTCAGCGGTCTTTTGTGACAGTCCCACACTGAGATGTATATATTGTTTCAGCGGTCTTTTGTGACAGTCCTACACTGAGATATATATATTGTTTCAGTAGTTTTTGTAACAGTCCTATACTGAGATGTATATATTGTTTCAGTGGGTTTTTGTAACAGTCCTACAATGAGATGTATATATTGTTTCAGCGGTCTTTTGTGACAGTCCTACACTGAGATGTATATATTGTTTCAGCGGTCTTTTGTGATAGTCCCACACTGAGATGTATATATTGTTTCAGCGGTCTTTTGTGACAGTCCCACACTGAGATGTATATATTGTTTCAGCGGTCTTTTGTGACAGTCCTACATTGAGATGTATATATTGTTTCAGTAGTTTTTGTGACAGTCCTACACTGAGATGTATTTATTGATTCTGTAGTTTTTGTGACAGTCCTATACTGAGATGTATTTATTGTTTCTGTAGTTTTTGTGACAGTCCTACACTGAGATGTATATATTGTTTCTGTAGTTTTTGTAACAGTCCTACACTAAGATGTATATATTATTTCAGCGGTCTTTTGTGACAGTCCCACACTGAGATGTATATATTGTTTCTGTAGTTTTTGTGACAGTCCTACACTGAGATGTATATATTATTTCAGTAGTTTTTGTGACAGTCCTACACTGAGATGTATATATTGTTTCAGCGGTCTTTTGTGATAGTCCTACACTGAGATGTATATATTGTTTCAGCGGTCTTTTGTGACAGTCCCACACTGAGATGTATATATTGTTTCTGTAGTTTTTGTAACAGTCCTACACTGAGATGTATATATTATTTCAGTAGTTTTTGTGACAGTCCTACACTGAGATGTATATATTGTTTCAGCGGTCTTTTGTGATAGTCCTACACTGAGATGTATATATTGTTTCAGCGGTCTTTTGTGATAGTCCTACACTGAGATGTATATATTGTTTCTGTAGTTTTTGTAACAGTCCTATACTGAGATGTATTTATTGTTTCAGCGGTCTTTGGTGACAGTCCTACACTGAGATGTATATATTGTTTCAGCGGTCTTTTGTAACAGTCCTACACTGAGATGTATATATTGTTTCAGTAGTTTTTGTAACAGTCCTACACTGAGATGTATATATTTTTTCAGTGGTCTTTTGTGACAGTCCTACACTGAGATATATATATTGTTTCAGCGGTCTTTTGTAACAGTCCTACACTGAGATGTATATATTGTTTCAGTAGTTTTTGTAACAGTCCTACACTGAGATGTATATATTGTTTCAGCGGTCTTTCGTGACAGTCCTACACTGAGATGTATATATTGTTTCTGTAGTTTGTGACAGTCCTACACAGAGATGTATATATTGTTTCAGCGGTCTTTTGTGACAGTCCCACACTGAGATGTATATATTGTTTCAGCGGTCTTTTGTGACAGTCCTACACAGAGTTGTATATATTGTTTCAGCGGTCTTTTGTGACAGTCCCACACTGAGATGTATATATTGTTTCAGCGGTCTTTTGTGACAGTCCTACACTGAGATGTATATATTGTTTCAGCGGTCTTTTGTGACAGTCCTACACAGAGTTGTATATATTGTTTCAGCGGTCTTTTGTGACAGTCCCACACTGAGATGTATATATTGTTTCTGTAGTTTGTGACAGTCCCACACTGAGATGTATATATTGTTTCAGCGGTCTTTTGTGACAGTCCTACACTGAGATGTATATATTGTTTCAGCGGTCTTTTGTGACAGTCCCACACTGAGATGTATATATTGTTTCAGCGGTCTTTTGTGACAGTCCTACACTGAGATGTATATATTGTTTCAGCGGTCTTTTGTGACAGTCCTACACTGAGATGTATATATTGTTTCAGCGGTCTTTTGTGACAGTCCTACACTGAGATGTATATATTGTTTCAGCGGTCTTTTGTGACAGTCCTACACTGAGATGTATATATTGTTTCAGCGGTCTTTTGTGACAGTCCTACACTGAGAGACAACAGTCATATTATCGAAGGCACGGAAGGTCCTTATCAACAAAACGACACAATTGAAGTTGGATGTGAACTTGGTTATTATACAACAGGACAGACAATGTTTCGCTGTCTCTACAATTCGCAATGGAATGGAACTATGCCTATATGTACCGGTGATTATACAAAAACATCATACAGATTTTAAGTCAAATTTCAAAAGAATATCCAGTATAGGTACATGAATTTCGATAAAAGTGTAGTCTGTTATTTCATGGCTGCAAAAGATGAATAACATCTAGTTTTTCAAATTTACAATTTAATATAAGATATATTGAAATAATTACATACTGCTTATATCATGTGATCAAATTTAGGATTTCAAAGTTTGATTCTTTGTTGACCCGAATAAAGTTACAATTAAACACAATATATTGAAATAATGACACACTGCCATTATTAAGAGATCAAGTTTAGGGTTTCAAAGTTTAATTTTTTGTTGACCGAGTAAATTTACAAACATTTTACAGGTGTTTCTTGTCCGGAACTTCATCCATCATCAAACAGTCACATAGAAGATATTTCTGTGTCTTACACATACGCGGATGTGACCATAGTTCGGTGTGATACGGGTTACACACTTGTGGGAGATTCACACCTGTATTGTCAGGCCGACGGCACGTGGAATACCTCCTTACCGACATGTCAAGGTTCGTTTGTGTATACTGTTTGATTCCTGTTTTTAGTTTTAAATGCATGTTAACATATGAATAAGGCAAGATGGTACATGAGCACATTAATCTCTAGTCCAGTTTAAGAAAAGAAGGGAAATACGAAAAAAGTAATTACATAATTGTGATTGTGCGCATGTACGTTACCACCATGTGTCCGTCAGACAGCTGTGTACTCTTTCAGGATAGTGACGTCATTTACTGCTTACCATATTATGAATTAACTTTACCAACAATCAAAAGTCTTAGACATTTTGAATTAACTTTACCATTAAACAAAAGTTTTAGATATTATTAATTAACTTTACCATTAAACAAAAGTCTTAGATATTATTAATTAACTTTACCAACAATCAAAAGTCTTAGATATTATTAATTAACTTTACCCTTAAACAAAAGTCTTAGATATTATTAATTAACTGTACCATTAAACAAAAGATTTAGATATTATTAATTAACTTTGCCAACAATCAAAAGTCTTAGATATTATTAATTAACTTTACCAACAATCAAAAGTCTTAGATATTATTAATTAACTTTACCAACAATCAAAAGTCTTAGATATTATTAATTAACTTTACCAACAATCAAAAGTCTTAGATATTATTAATTAACTTTACCAACAATCAAAAGTCTTAGATATTATTAATTAACTTTACCAACAATCAAAAGTCTTAGATATTATTAATTAACTTTACCAACAATCAAAAGTCTTAGATATTATTAATTAACTTTACCAACAATCAAAAGTCTTAGATATTATTAATTAACTTTACCAACAATCAAAAGTCTTAGATATTATTAATTAACTTTACCAACAATCAAAAGTCTTAGATATTATTAATTAACTTTACCATTAAACAAAAGTCTGAGATATTATTAATTAACTTTACCAACAATCAAAAGTCTTAGATATTATTAATTAACTTTACCATTAAACAAAAGTCTTAGATATTATTAATTAACTTTACCAACAATCAAAAGTCTTAGATATTATTAATTAACTTTACCAACAATCAAAAGTCTTAGATATTATTAATTAACTTTACCAACAATCAAAAGTCTTAGATATTATAAATTAACTTTACCATTAAACAAAAGTCTTAGATATTATTAATTAACTTTACCAACAATCAAAAGTCTAAGATATTATTAATTAACTTTACCATTAAACAAAAGTCTTGGATATTGTCAATTAACTTTACCATCAAACAAAAGTCTTAGATATTACTTGTATTATAGCAATGATTGTTTATCTACATTGTATAGCGGTGGTTTGCCCTGTGCCAGTTCTAAATGACAACAGTCTTGTTGAAAACGGCAGTAACCCTTACGTTTTCGGGGACATTATACATGTAAAATGTAAACAGGGATATCAGCTGTTCGGCTACGACATATTCATGTGCAAGAGCGATGGTCGCTGGGATGGAAATTTTCCCGTTTGCAAAGGTACCTTTTTAAAAAGAAGTAGTTAACCCCTTAAATAGGACTGTACCATCGTTATTTCAACTAGTTTGTTATCAATTTGAATTCCAATGATTCGTTTCTCTTTAATCTACGTAATGGAGAAGACACAATCATTTTCTTAAAGGTCAATAGAATTCTAAGTATACTTTGGGCAAATAAAAAACCCAACTACCATCTTTTGAGACAAAATTAAGATAAGTGGATTTCAAATATTGCTACTAGTATTTACTCATTTATCCAAAGTTTGCAATAACAGAAATAAAGTTTCTTATGTATGATCTGTAGGGACTTGTCCTCTTCACTGTAAAGATAGCCAGATCTGTGATGACCCGGATGGAGGTTGCCCGGATTGTGAGCCAGCATGGTGGGGAAGACACTGCCAATACCGTGAGTCATCTTGCACCATCCATATACATTTTAAATTTTCCTTCGTTCCGCCTGAGTGACTCGCAGTAAAAGCTGTTACATTGTAGATTGTGTAATATAAGTAAAATAATACAGACTCATCCAATTCCCTTGATTTGCTGTTAATAAAAACTGACATGATTATAATGTTTGTAAAATCGACACACGAATGAATATCACTTTCGACAGAAATTATTGTATACCTTAGTTCATACAACTGTTTCCTCCTTCTGAGACTCAATTTCAATTTCAACAAAATTTTATTAACATTTTATATGTTAAACGGATTGGACAACAGGCTGAGCCTATATCACTCCTTTCCAGAATTAATACATGAATAAATTACATTTATCTGCAAGAAAATCCAGTGAGTAAAATATTGTATATATCAAATTAGGATATAAAAGGTAAAGGGAGGTAACTCCAATTTATTGTGGAACGTGAAGTAGTTCATTATGTCAGATTATTTTTCATAGGATTATAAATAAGTTGAAATAATGCAGGTTTACTGATAATTTACCATGCAAGAATCCAGGGATTCAGGTCATAAAGTCCATGTGTATAAATACCTCGACCATCCACCCAAGGATATGCATAATAACTTATCAACAATTCTGCATTTACTCTGTTGATAGGTAAGATCATGGTTAAGTATGAGAGGTTTATAAAATGGTATTTCAGTTTTTTTCATCTATATTGGAGTTGGTCCTCTTAACATAGTATATAATAAGTTAACAATTAGTTACTGCTACATAAGTATAAGTAGTAATCATGAATTTAAAGAATACATTCAAACAATACTTTCAAAATGCTCATCAATTTCAGTCAGAAATACTATTAAAACGCTTGATATTGCTGATTTACATACATCAGGTGTTATTTCAGTGATCCGTAGATAAAGATTAAATGGAGAAAGATTAAATTAAATGGAGAAATTATACATTAAATTTATTAGTAAGATGACTAAGACTCGTCAGTGATGTGACATCATACAACTGTATCGTCCTTCTAAGACAAGTTAGTGATGCTACATCATACAACTGTTTCATCCTTCTAAGACTCGTCAGTGATGTGACATCATACAACTGTTTCGTCCTTCTAAGACAAGTTAGTGATGCTACATCATACAGCTGTTTGGTCCTCCTAAGACAAGTTAGCGATGCTACATCATATAGCTGTTTGGTCCTTCTAAGACAAGTTAGTGATGCTACATCATACAGCTGTTTGGTCCATCTAAGACAAGTTAGCGATGCTACATCATACAGCTGTTTGGTCCTTCTATTACTCGTCGGTGATGCTAGGAGTCTTGTATGTCGAACCGAGGTAGAAAGACTGTAAGATCTTTCGTTATGTGCAGTTTTAGCATTATTTAGATTAATCTCATCAATTACCATTGCTGAACGTCCAGTATGTGATTATATTTCAAAGATAGTAGGTATTGCATGCCATGTTATAGTAAAACACGTCTGTTCTCACGACCATTAATTATCGTCTACTCATAAACAGTTAAGGTCATTGTTCTCACGTTCATTTCGCATCAATATACACGTCATCCTATTTGGATTGGTTTTTCAAAACAAAAATACTAAACCAGACTATCAATGTTACAGCGTTAGGATGTCGTCTGTCGCCACAAGGAACAGAATATCGCGGAGAGATGAATTCTACGATTAGTGGGCGTGTCTGCCAGGCATGGTCTGATACAACAGTCCATACTCACAAGTACGAGAAGTTTGTTGACATAGAGGCTAACAACTTCTGTAGAAATCCAGACAATGAGACGTGTCCATGGTGCTATACCGTAGATCCGGATGTACGATGGGAGCTTTGTCCAGTTCCTCTCTGTTGTGAGTCTAGTACTCCCTGATGGATGTCTTTCTATCCATTTCCTGACTTGTTAAGTATTTCAAGCGTTTAGAAAATACAAAAAATCACAGAAACGAACAAAATGCATTTTTTCCTAATTTAGGGTCGAATAGGAGTTGAGGCAATATCTGATATAATTTAGGAAGAGTTAAGAATTCAAAGCTCACGAGTAAAATGCAACAGTAGTTTATATAACATTTATTGTTAAGTAAAATGTAACTAACTTTCAGCTTCACTGGCCCAGTGTCCACCTCCTGTTCTTCCACAAAACGTCACAGTGATCAACCCACCACAAATCGCTTTCTTCACGGGTTCTGTGTTGTTGCTAGAGCTCAAGTGTGGGGAAGGATTCAAGACAGTATCATCTCCAAGGATAAAATGTCTAGAAAACAACACCTGGACATACAGCATTCCTTCATGTCAAGGTAGGTCCTATATAACTTTATCAAATAAGTAAATAACTGTAATATATTGGATCAATGTTCATACCCAAAGTCAAACAAATGGACACAGAGGAAGTGTACGTAGTTACATGTTTCACAGAACAATTGTATGTTGACGTAATGAATACGAAACTTCCGAGTTAGGGTGGTAAAATCTAAACTGATTTGTCACAACCATGACTTTTTGTGTTTAGCCGTGCGTTGCAAGCACCAAGCACTCCCTGACCACAGCTATATCACAGGGATGTCTGTCACCCATTTTCCTTACGTTCTGAGTGTACAGGTTAGCTGCAAAGACGGATACACCTTACAGGGCCCTTCTCAGCTGACATGTTCTCATCCAAACTATTCCTGGAATGTAACAAAGTGTAAACGTAAGGATTGTTTAATAGTATTCCACTGTTACAGACTTTTTACATCAGTGGGTTTTTTCCTTATTTCAAGCAAGTATCTTTCGAACTGCAATCAAAACTGTGATTACTTTTATATAAATAAACTAAATTCAACGTAATATTACGATTTAACAGTCAGTTCTGCACGAAGACACCACTAGGGAAGAGGCAAAAGTAGCCGATATTCAGATATACTGTAAATTACAATGATTAGTGCTGTTTTTTCCTAATACAGTTCTAATCTGTAATGATAAGAGCATTATCATTGCCCAAAGTAAGACAATCCTTAATGCGTTTCCTGATATCCTGATATTCCTACTTTGTCCTAGCTATTGTGTGTCAGAAACCGGCACTGTCTGCATTCAGTTACGTGGATCAGAACAAGAATGAGTATCCCTTTGGTAGCCAGATCATGGTAAAGTGTACTCAGCTGTATAGGCGTGTAGGCCAGGGAAGGTTTCGCTGTCTTTCGGATGGTCGATGGGATGGAGAAATGCCGGAATGTAAAGGTAGTTGTATATTATAATAACATTATGGTATATACTCAAATAAAGCACAGAAAAGTAGATAATGTGTGATCAAATATTTATTAATTACTTATCTCATATATAAGGTGTATGTTTCAACATTCGCTATAATTCTATCAATCAAGTTATAATCTGCCGTATTACATCATTTTAGCTCCGTCATGCAGCCTGCCTAAAGTACCAATGTCACATTTGGTAGATGTCCGGTCGCTTGCTGACATGAGTCCTGGAGGTAATGTGACGGTTGTGTGTCGAAACACGAACGGAACTTCTGTCTTACAGTGTCTTCCGAACGGAACATTTTCAGGAACCATACCTGAGTGTAAAGGTGAGTATTATCGATGATAAAACCGTGACATTGCTACCATAGAAGAATAGATTATATACTGAAACGAAAAGGAAAACGCAACTTGGAAAATTGTTATTAATTTTGTATTAAATATACATAGCTGTATAAAAATTGCGGAAATAAAAGTACACCCTGTCTATCACCCTAAACCAGTATCAATTTATCACTAACATCGAGACATATCATCGCCAATACTTTTGCAAACAATAATTCCTTTTACAATTATGCCACGGTTATCACAGGTTGATAGAGGACGTGCTATCGAAATGCTTATGGCAGGGAGCACGCAACTTCACGTCGCTCGACACTTCAGAGTTCACAAATCGACTATCAGTCGATTAGTTTCACGTCTTAACGCCACAGGAAGAGTCGATGACCGGCCGAGATCATGACGTCCACGCGTAACGTTGTTAGGCTGGCACACTTGCGTAACAGGAGGTTAACGGCTGCTGAAACGGCAAGGAATACGATTGGTAATCATAACCATCGGATTCATCCCCAAACAGTGATCAACAGACTGCATGAGGCTAATTTGCGTGCAAGGCGACAGTACGTTGGTTTACCACTAACACCGCAACATCGAGCACGTCGTATGCAATGGTTGACGGCACATATGCCCAGACGTTTTCCTGTGAGAGGTTGGAGGTCCATGCTCTTCACCGATGAATCTCGATTCACGTTATTTCGAGCAGATGGCCGTCAACTTGTGTACCGGCGTCGAGGCGAACGTTTTGCTGACGCCTGTGTTTGGAGCATGACCGATTTGGGGGTGGATGAGTTATGGTTTGGGCGGGAATCTCCCATGGTTTGAAGACACCTTTGGTGATAGTCAATGGGAATTTAACGACACGATATCAGCGAAGTGACCTTTTCTTAAAAATCTCCAAACATTTAGAGGATGTTACATCAATATTCAATATTAACTATTACATATGAAATTTAGACATAATGCTCACAAGTATTATTTTATTAAACCTACAATTTGAAGTTGCGTTTCTTATTCGTTTCAGTATACATGAAAAGTTGTCGTATTGTCAGATATATACTATATAGTTGTCGCTTTGTTCGCTCGCCCGTCCGTTCATTTGTTCGTGTGTCCTTCGAAATTTTGTCCGGAGCATAACACAAAAACAATAAGAGATCTCAGTATTAATCTTTAAATGTAGATATATATTGATGAGGAGAAGAAGTGCGTAGTGCAAGAACCTCAACTCTTCTCATAATTTCGGAGTCATTGCCTTTTACTTTTTATACGCCGCCGGAGGCGGTCGTATATTGGCGTCATCTTCTCCGTCTGTCCGTCCTTACGTCCATCCGTTCTTTTGAACGCAACTCCTCCTAAACTTATTATCATTTTCATGAAACTTGCTCAATGTCACTACTACAATGGGTAGATGTGCATGAATGGGCGATTTTTCGGTTCTTTGATTTTTGTAAGATTTATGCCATTTTCAACTTTGTATCTGTAGCTTGCTCTTAGTGGAGCCTTGTGAACGCAACTCCTCCTGAAATAATCAGAAGATTTTCACGAAACTTGCTCAATGTCACTACTACAATGGGTAGATGTGCATGAAGGGGCGATTTTTTGGTTCGTTGATTTTTGTAAGATTTATGACATTTTCAACTTTGTATCTGTAGCTTGCTCTTAGTGGATCTTTATATTTTGTGACGGTGTATATTGTGTCCACGGCACTCTTGTTTCATACTTAAATTATGTACGGAGCATTTTGTCCCATTCGGGAAGCATAACCCGTTTCAGACGGCTCTTGTTGTTACTCAATATCAAGTAGACCTTTGATTTCAGCGACTGGGTGTGGTCCCCCAACGATGCCCCAAGACAAATACGTTGTTGTGAAGCACGAGAATGACATGGACACTGGAAGTACACTGATGGTTCACTGTGTCAGCGGTATGGAACTGTACGGTCCTGAAGAGCTCACCTGTTTGACTAACGGGTCTTGGTCCAATGACAATAGTGAATGTAAAAGTAGGTTGAATTTTAAAATAGCATTGAGATTTAGAAAAAAACGGTGTAATCCTTACTCTGCTTTAACAAAGTCTCCACTTAGATGCTGTCGTCTGCATTGACATCTAGACCAAGAGAATGAGGATCAATCAGAAAAGAAAAAAAAACACTACAGAAACAATAAAGACAACAAGGTTTTCATCCTCCTCAATGAGAGAGCATATTGTCGCCACATAGGTAGGGTAGACAAATTAGCACAAGAAACCCCCAGATTTTCACTAATGAAGCAAACCGTGGTAGATGGAAACTGATCAGACGAGAAAGCATCATTGACTGAGCAAATGGAGACAGGTCAAAGCTTTGCATATTGTTTACAATGCGTGCACTGATGGAATTAGACTTTTATTCATATGATGTTATCAGTCGAGAGAATCTTCCCGAATAAACTGGGTGGTCAAACTAGACATTGTAAATCGTCTGTAATCCGGTTAGCATAGAGCCGTGACTGGAATTGTATAAAATACGCACAGTCAATAACAACAAATAATTTTACAGTGATGTCCCTTTAAACCAAGATTTTGTATGTCACATTATTTTCCTTCTCTACATAGATAAAAGATGTATATATATATAAGTAATATTAACGATGCACAACACTATTTAGAAACAAGAGAAGTAATTTCCATATTCACACATTGCCATCTGACAACGTATGCATTTTGGTAATTCTCCACCTAGTAGTAACTAGAATTGATATGTCAAAACTTAATTTTATACAGGGCTTCATGCACGTGCTCGCTTGGAGAAATATCTAAAAAGAAAACACCTCCAGATCGCGGCACAGTCTGGTTTCTTAGTTACTATATGGTGACGCGGCACAGTCTGATGTCTTAGTTACTATATGGTGACGCGACACAGTCTGATGTCTAAGTTACTATATGGTGACGCGACACAGTCTGATATCTTAGTTACTATATGGTGACGCGCCACAGTCTGATTTCTTAGTTACTCTATGGTGACGCGACACAGTCTGATGTCTTAGTTACTATATTGTGACGCGGAACAGTCTGGTTTCTTAGCTACGATATGGTAACGCGACACATTCTGATTTCTTAGTTACTATATGGTGACGCGGCACAGTCTGATTTCTTAGTTACTATATGGTGACGCGGCACAGTCTGATGTCTTAGTTACTATATTGTGACGCGGCACAGTCTGGTTTCTTAGCTACGATATGGTGACGCGACACAGTCTGATTTCTTAGTTACGATATGGTGACGCGGCACAGTCTGATGTCTTAGTTACTATATGGTGACGCGGCACAGTCTGATTTCTTTGTTACTATATGGTGACGCGGCACAGTCTGATGTCTTAGTTACTATATGGTGACGCGGCACACTCTGATGTCTTAGTTACGATATGGTGACGCGGCACAGTCTGGTTTCTTAGTTACTATTTGGTGACGCGGCACAGTCTGATGTCTTAGTTACTATATGGTGACGCGGCACAGTCCAACGCTTAGCTACTATATGGTGACGCGGCACAGTGCTATGTCTTAGTTACGATATGGTGACGCGGCACAGTCTGATGTCTTAGTTACTATATGATGACGCGGCACAGTCTGATGTCTTAGTTACTATGTAGTGACGCGACACAGTCCGATTTCTTAATTACTATGTGGTGACGTGACACAGTCTGATGTCTTAGCTACTATATGGTGACGCGGCACAGTCCTATGTCTTAGTTACTATATGGTGACGCGGCACAGTCAAATGTCTTAGCTACCTACTATATGGTGACGCGGCACAGTGCTATGTCTTAGTTACTATATGGTGACGCGACACAGTCCGATTTCTTAGTTACTATGTGGTGACGCGACACAGTCTGATGTCTTAGTTACTATATGGAAACGCCGCATAGTTTGATGTCTTAGTTACTATATGGTGACGCGGCACAGTCCAATGTCTTAGTTACTATATGGTGACGCGGCACAGTCCAATGTCTTAGCTACTATATGGTGACGCGGCACAGTGCTATGTCTTAGTTACTATGTGGTGACGCGGCACAGTCTGATGTCTTAGTTACTATATTGTGACGCGGCACAGTCTGATGTCTTAGTTACTATATGGTGACGCGGCACACTCTGATGTCTTAGTTACGATATGGTGACGCGGCACAGTCTGGTTTTTTAGTTACTATAGGTGACGCGGCACAGTCTGATGTCTTAGTTACTATATGGTGACGCGACACAGTCTGGTTTCTTAGTTACTATATAGTGACGCGGCACACACTGGAATCTTAGTTACTATGTGGTGACGCGCCACAGTCCAATTTCTTAGTTACTATATGGTGACCCGGCACAGTCCTATGTCTTAGTTACTATATGGTGACGCGGCACAGTCTGATGTCTTCGTTACTATATGGTGACGCGGCACAGTCTGATGTCTTCGTTACTATATGGTGACGCGGCACAGTCCAATGCCTTAGCTACTATATGGTGACGCGGCACAGTGCTATGTCTTAGTTAATATATGGTGACGCGGCACAGTCTGATGTCTTAGTTACTATATTGTGACGCGGCACAGTCTGATGTCTTAGTTACTATATGGTGACGCGGCACAGTCCTATGTCTTAGTTACTATATGGTAACGCCGCATAGTCTGATGTCTTAGTTACTATGTGGTGACGCGGCACAGTCCAATGTCTTAGTTACTATATGGTGACGCGGCACAGTCCAATGTCTTAATAACTATATGGTGACGCGGCACAGTCTGATGTCTAAGTTACTATATGTTGACGCGGCACAGTCTGGTTTCTTAGTTACTATATGGTGACGCGGACAGTCTGGTTTGATGGAAGATTGAAGATCAGATGGAAGTTAATTAGCAGATGTCCTTGATCTTGTGCTTTGATGTTATCGGCTTGAGATAGAATCTGATTACAGCTGTATTTCATTATCAGATAGTTGTTTCACTGATGTAAAACAAATTCTTACCAGCTGTGCAACAACATACATAATTTGTCTTGTTTTATATAAACGTTGATAATTAGATCGTGATAAAGACATTAAGTTTCTATAAGAAAAGCCAGTAATTGAAGTCATGCCCGTATATATCTATCGTTCTCGTTTACTGTCACTACAGTTTCTATCAGGAAATTAGGAAATAGTGAGAATGTGACTTCTATCAGGTGTTTATATTACTGCTCATTAAACATTGCACCGAATGGCAGGTGCTTTTCTTTGTCCATATCCTGGTTTAATCAAGGTCGCCAGTGAAAATGTAAAGAGGTATAAAAATATAACGTCAGTCTGTCACAGGCATGATTTCTAACATTTGTCAACAGAGTTCTTTTTCAACAAATGGATGTTGTAGTGATCAGATGCCCCAGTCCGGTGTTGCCAGACCACAGTGTGATAGTCCGAGGGAAGAAGACTGTGTACAGATACGGAGACACGGTCTTGGTCATATGTCTTGAAGGATACAGTCCTCTATATCCTGTCACTTTAGTGTGTCAGCATGACAAAACCTGGAACGGAACAATGCATAGGTGTGATGGTCAGTATGGATTTTATAAATCTCATTTTATCAACTCAAATAAAAGTTTGATATAACAACTTACTTCTTGACATTTATATTTTGTACAGCCCTTTCATGCCAGGTTCCTACCCCTCCTGACACATTACAGTATATCATTAAGAGCTCTGCTGATCTTCAGTTCGGCGGAACGTTAACTGTCGGATGTAAGGCAGGCTATAAAACATTAGGAAATGAACAAATGATATGTGAAGCTAACGGACGCTGGGCAGGTCATCTGCCAGACTGTCAAGGTATGTTACTACAACATTTGCAGTTACCCATTATTGTTTTATTACATTGATTAGCGTCACGTTCGTACACTTTGAATACAGACATTTCCAATTATATATATGTGTGTGTATGGTATTTCCCTCCTCTTTGTCTCTAATTTGTTTATAAACGACTCTACTAGTGTTTATGTCGGTTGTACGTATACAACGTGATTTTTTAGCTATGACGTGCATGCTGCCGAGTCTGTCTTCCGACCTGTATGTGATGGTTGACCAGGGAAATGGCGTGACCCCCGGGGATATCATATCGGTTTGGTGTAGACCAGGAATGAAGGTAGTTGGTTTCCCCTACCTCAAATGTCTGAAGGACGGCACGTGGAACGCATCGACACCAACATGTCAACGTAAGATACACGGTTACCTAAATAGGTTATTTATGAAGCTAATATGTATAATTGGTAATGAGAATGTACTAGGGTTGAAATGAAAACATCACAACTTGGTTTCTGAATGTTTATACCGCGAAGTAATCCATATGATAAAGCCCTGTATATGGAACAGAGGTTCTAGGTTCCCTACACATTTCTGGGCATTGTCTTAGACACATTCTCAAATCATCCAATCCTTTGTCTAAAACACTACTTTTTTTCAAAACCCTGATGTTGTCCCTTCGGAATATGACTCAACTCTGCTGACAGAGAGTCTAGCCCCTACACTAAAACATTCTTAATCCTCCCTCCACAGAGTATCCAACCAATCAAAACATATCATGTCAGGTCTACTGGGCATGTCTCGTGTCCAAGTTCTAGAGTACCAAAGTAGCTGGAACGTTAAAGGTGTATGTCAGGTCTACTGGGCATATCTCGTGTCCAAGATTAAAGGTGTATGTAAGGTCTACTGGGCATGTCTCGTGTCCAAGATTAAAGGTGTATGTCAGGTCTACTGGGCATATCTCGTGTCCAAGATTAAAGGTGTATGTCAGGTCTACTGGGCATGTCTCGTGTCCAAGATTAAAGGTGTATGTCAGGTCTACTGGGCATGTCTCGTGTCCAAGTACTAGAGTACCAAAGTAGCTGGAACGTTAAAGGTGTATGTCAGGTCTACTGGGCATGTCTCGTGTCCAAGTACTAGAGTACCAAAGTAGCTGGAACATTAAGGTGCAGTGAGTTCTGATAACATTTTAGTAAATGTAGATACATCAGATAAACTACACGAATGTGACAAAACCCAGAGGAAAGTACCTACATGTTGTTGAAATCTTCATCCAAACTTATAGTCAAGGAAACGAGTATAAAACAAATACAACAGGAGGATTTACATGGAGACTCATAAACTGAATAAAAAATGTAAAACGACCAAGAACAGGTATCCAAAGTTATACCGCACAATCATATATAGTCTCGTGAGGCTCAAATGTAGACTAGTGATATCGTAAATAAGTCAATATGTTATAGAAACGGACTTACATCAGTACTAACAGTAAACAAATTTAGGATTTTATGGTAAAACTTGGATGTGTGGAGTTATATAAGACATGTGTTTCAGATATTAACTGTTCACCACCATTGGGGATTGATTACAATATTATACCGAAAAAGAAGAGCTATATATACAAGGATACCATTAGTGTCTATTGTAAGGATGGATTCGAACTACAGGGCGCAAGTACGCTTGCGTGTGGACTTGACGGCACGTGGGGAACGAATCAACCCTGGTGTTCAGGCATGTATCTTTAAATGTAGAGAATAGCTACGTTTTTGAAATATTATGAAATCAAAGAATGTAATATGTTAACATACTGCATCTTTGTAATTAGCTATTTAATAAGTTAATGTCAATTTTTCATATCAATTTCCTTTTTCCATATATGGACATATAGTAATGAACTATACTTTACAGAAGTGAAATGTGCACTCCCGCCTTTAAGTGACTTGCACGTGCTGAATATGGACCAAACATCATCATTATCAGTAGGAGGGATTGTACATGTTGGCTGTACAAATAACAAGAAGTCAGTTAATTTGAGGTGCAGGAAAGATAAAACATGGAACTCATCACTACCAGCATGTGATAAAATCAAAAGTAAATCTTCATTTCTCTCTTTATTCCTCTGATTAATTAAAGTAATGTTATGTACCACATTATAGTATTTCGTATAAAACCTAGTGCCTCTATAATGTACGCTGACAATCATAATTAACAGAATCGACACAATGATAAAAAGCTCACGAACAGGAGAATGTTATTACAATCCTACTCTGTCCTATGATGCGACTGTATGTATTACATACAAATGTATACTTCTCTGTTTCATTAGCTGTGGTGCAGGTTCCACCGGAAGCAGATTCCGGGGATGACTTAAGTGTTCTGGATATAGGTATTATCGCTGCTTGTGTAGCAGCAATACTGGTTACTGGTATAGCAGCCACAACTTACTTTCTTGTACGGTAGGCAAAGACTTGTATATTTTCTTTTTACTGAAGGATGTATGAAGGTCATAATTGGAAGTGGAGAGACGACAATTTAATATGAAAATTATTCCAAAGTGTTATCTTAGTGTTGTTTTAATGCCTTGTGATCTACAGCTGGAAAAGGGCGCTTCACGTGAAATTTTAAAGATTTTTCCTGTTACACATATTCTGACCCTTGTATCAGATAAAACGAATACAGCAACATATGGATATTTGCTTTTAAATTACTTTCTGACAACTAAACTTTCAAACACAAATCATATCCGAATTTAATAATGGAAATGGTTTTTAATTCTCAGATGAGTACATAATTATATAAACTGACGTACATATTCTTGTGTGATATTTCTGTTACAGAAAATTCAGAAAAAGTAGGAGACTAAAGAGTTCTAACATTGCTATAACATATAAAGATATGGAACACGGTGAGTAAGGATGTTCTGGTGTACACTATCACCAAATCCTAAAGTCGTGGTGGTATCACTATCACCAAATCCTAAAGTCGTGGTGGTATCAATATCACCAAATCCTAAAGTCGTGGTGGTATCACTCTCCACATCCTAAAGTCGTGATAGTATCACTATCACCAAATCCTAAAGTCGTGATGGTATCACTATCACCATATCCTAAAGTCGTGATGGTATCACTATCACCAAATCCTAAAGTCGTGGTGGTATCACTATCACCAAATCCTAAAGTCGTGGTGGTATCACTATCACCAAATCCTAAAGTCGTGGTAGTATCACTATCACCAAATCCTAAAGTCGTGGTATCACTTTCACCAAATCCTAAAGACTTTTTAACATTCTTTTACATTTAGATACATATACCTTTTTTGGATTTGAGCGTGACATTAATTGACAAGAAATAGGCATGTTTATAACAGCTTCAGTGAATTTCATGGTACAGATATTAAATCTTTACGTTGATATTATAAACTTTAAAAATTAAAACCAATGTTGTTGTACTGATTGAAAAATGTTGCGTTGTTACCGGTTTTGCTTTAAAAAACAGATTGATTTAAGTTTGTAATGATGATGAGATTACCATCTATGAGCATTTTATTTCATATTTCTTTGCAGAATTTTGAGAACGATCTTCAGGGAGAGTGCCTTCAGAGGAAACAAATTGTGCCTGAAAGCTGTGAGAATTATGTTTGCTATCGTCTAACGTACCTTTCTGCTTGAATCCTTCATTTTTTCAATGTTTTATGAACTGAATTTCAAGTTTAACTGCTTTAAAGGGGCACAACCGTGATTATCTTATCAATCTCAGACGTGTAACTATTAAGTACGGAATAATCTTACAAATACAATGGCATCTAATGATAGACTTCCCGCTATCACACCAAAATCTTTACTTTTAATTATCTTTGATTTTGCGATACTGTTTAAACTTTATCTCTCAATACTATTCACGTGAAATAAATATGAACTTCTGAGATGTGTCTCATCAATAAGACATATGTGTATGTTTGTCACACCTTTAAGATATTTTTAATATATGTGTGTGTGAGTGAGTGTATTTGTGATAGTGTGTGTGTGTGTGTGTGTGTGTGTGTGTGTGTGTGTGTGTGTGTGCGTGCGTGTTTGTGTGTGTGTGTGAGAGAGAGAGAGAGAGAGAGAGGGTGTGTGTGTGTGTGTGTGTGTGTGTGTGGGTCACACCTTAAGATATATATATCTGTGTGTCACACCAGTAAGACATGTATAAGATAAATATATAGATATGTGTGTCACACCTTTAAGATATTTATAAATATGTGAGTGAGAGAGAGTGTGTGTGTGTGTGTTTGTGTAGGCGTGTGTGTGTGTGGGTGTAAGTGGTGGGTGTGGGTGTGGGTGTGTGTTTGGGTGTGAGATGTGGGTGTGTGTGTGTGTGTGGGTGTGGGTGTGAGTAATGGGTGTGTGTGTGTGTGTGTGGTGTGAATACTTGTATTAGAGGTAAAGTTATATATATACTGAAATATACTGATAAATCTGTCAGACTTAAATGTCACGATTTTATGACCTCTGTGAGTTCAATATGGAACTCCTGTAGGATATCGAATTTATGAGTGAGTTGAGTTGCTGATGAAATGTAAACGGCAATTAACACTTTATCGAGACAAAACAAGCCTACATTTGATCATACTTCATGTCGTTTTATCCTCCGTTTGTAATCAAAATATAATAAACATCACTGTACCAGAAAATGCCCTCCGTACATTATCCAAACCAGCTTTGTTGAAAAGGAAGATTATTGAAAACGATCTATCGTCAGTATCAGAAGAACAAACGAAGTATTGAAACGAAAGCAAAGACGACGAAAAAACAAACAAACAAAAAAACAGACACAATACACTCACAATAGCTGGTGTTGTCAGGTCACACCAGCATCTACAGAACAAACTGACCAAGGTTCTAATTAAAGCTGTAACTCTGTCTAGCCCTTCTTGGTATCAACCTAGCCGTTGTAAGGATCTTCGTGTTTCTAATCTATGTCACCAAAAAGAGTATTCGTTAATTCAAGTGTTTAGTCTCAATGTAGTATTTAATAGTAAATTTAAAAGGGATTTGTCACAGAATTACAGTTCTTTACACTTAATCAGAGCCACTGATCACAATACATTAAACGTCAGTCGTAGCAATGTCGAAAACGAAATAGATAACGACTTCGCCATTACATTGAAGTAGAGGAAAACCTTATCCCGAGGTTGTATAATGTATAAAGAAAATAAAACGTTTAAATGTAACAAAAAGTCCATCTTTTTCTTTATACATTTCATTCGTAACACATTACTGCCAACGTTGGAAACACTTAGTCCACAACAGAAGCAATAGCATTGTGACGTAGGTAGTCAGCAGGTAGACAATATTTTAAATTCTGTCCTCTAAAAATTACATCCAATGAAACAAGAGAACACATTTTAGCCCTAACCATTATATAAATCATAGTGACGCAAAGGATAACAGATTATTTCGTGTGATATTTGTATCTACAGATAAAATTCTTCGTGACATAGTAAATTGAACGAGGAATATTCGAATCCTACTATTTTGTAATGTAGATAAAAGCCGTTGTAATACAGTTGTATGTCTGGAAAGTGATTGAGTGTGAACGTGAACCAGGCACTGTGTGACACCCACGTCACCCCTCATTTTCTTATCACAATAGTAAATGGCTGATTTAAAGATCTACATACAAATTCTCACTAACTATTTTCTTCGACAACTCATTTTTTTTCTTTTGACTCCGGAGATGTTTTTGATGTTGTTTACATTGATATGAAATCTTTTCTACAGGAAATTCGATATGATCTGATTTCATTCATTGTCATAAAACTTAATCTTAACATGTGGAACACCCACTTTGTTTGCTCAGAAATTGATAAATCATAGTCACCTATTTGGCTTGACCCGTAAACAAATACTATTGTTACTTCAAAATAAAAAGTCAACAGTGTTTATGGTGGGAAACCGTACAACGGTAGGTCTACAGTTGTCTTTAATTGAATCTTATATCCCGATAACGTCGTGTTGACTTTCAAGCTGTGTGATAGAGTTTACACAGTCAACACTCTCTATTTTACATAGAAGGTACCTACCCTGTCCATCATACAGATGTGATCAAGCCAAAACATAACACGCGTTTAAACAATCAGGAAGTATGTGTATTACCTCCTCACCATTAAGTGAAGCTGGTATAATTTTGAAGTTTCTTTTCGATTGCAAAATTTTACTGCTTTCATATCATGTTTTTTTTTCTATTTCTCCTGAACTCAGAGAAATTCATCCCTAATGCAATTCCTCGGCATCTTTACCAATCTATAACCAAACTGTTTACTACAGTATGGTATATCAACATGCCGTAGAAATTTGCTGTTCGCGTGTAAAACCACTAAAGCGAAGGCAGAACATAAACCAAAGAAACCAGCTGTTCCAGAATCGTAAGCGTCTTCTGTTTCTAAGTTAATTCAATAACAAGAAACGACAGGTTAAAAATCTGAATTCAAACTGGAAATCATTGTAAAATATAAACGAACGAAAACTTTACAATTCTACCCCTGACATATTAAGTAACAGGACCGTTTAGAAAGTATTTAAGTATATCCGATATCATTAGAACTTGACGATCAACTTTTCTTTAATTACAAATAATTATTTGAATTTAAAAACTGAGATTTCACATTCATTTGAATACGTTTATGATATTGTCGATATATCTTAATGATTTTACCTCTTGCGCCCACCGAGCAGTTGTCCCTTGTGATTTTTGATATTTATATCTACATGTTATGAGAGACTAAATCTGTATGTTATGTTGCCTCTCTGATTCCGATAGCGACCTGCAAATAAATAGCCAATCACCAGGTGAGTAATTTTCATTTAAACCGTCGTTATTGTTTCTGTCTTCTTAACATGTAATACAGTATGGGCGTCAAACGTGAATGAACTGTAAATATTGTATCTATGTCACACAAAGGCTAACTGTAGGAAGAGAAAAATGGTCCACATATACAGTGCTTACAGTGTGGGCAACACAGATATACATCGTATTGACTTGTCTTAACTTCGTTTCTAAGTTATCTACCTGAATATCGGTCGGTTCACCTTTAACTATAAATTTCAAATCAGGTATGAAAAATAACTTTATGGGAATCAAAAATAACTCACGTGTATAGACACGGATCGGTGCAGTAAGAAAATATATTGACGATAATATGCCGCCTTTATGTGTATAGTGATATAGAATCGTGTATATAAATTACACGTAGATCTGAGCGGATTGAAAGAGCTCAATTGTGTGATTGGAAATGAGCTGTAGATTTGGCACCTTTCCAGGTTAGCTTTAGCCAGACCTTCTTATAGTATTTAAGTTGTAAACAAGTCCCGCTGGCAGCAATCATTTGCACTATATCGACTACTGTGTACGGACATGTTAATGAGCCGTTGTTGAACAATTACAACTGTTACCACGCATATTCACGGCAATATGTCACAAATGGTCATTATAACTTGAACCGAAAACATCATTATTGGAATAAGTGTTTTGATATTTCAAATGTGTTTTCTGTGGATATAAAAGAAACAAGATTGTTAGTCAATCCGTCAACTTGATCCATCGACAACTATCTTATAAAAATGGACAGTGATAGTGACCACAGTACAGGACGGTTGTCCAGGAGTCCCTCCCCCAACCAACGGATACCAATGAGAAGGGGATCGGATGCTTTTCAGATGGTGCTGAAAGAACTGAACTTTTCTGATGAGGAAAGCTTGACTAATTTAGACCCTGAGGTAATGAAGTTTTTGGACGGTATATCCAGAAAACAGCTAGAGAGAAGCAGCCTCACTACAATTCCAGACTCACAGGATGAATCCGAATGTGAAGAAGGTCCCAAATGGTCGGCCGATACTAAGGAGGGACGAAAACGAGGGCCTGGGCGGCGTTCTGCCAGGGCATCAGCACACCATGTACAGTGGGTTGATGAACGTTTCATTGTCCCCGTAGCTTACGAACCAGATGATACTGAAAAACACGCGGCCAGAATTTATATCAAGACTATTCCAAAATCAATACTGAAACACGAGGCGCCGTCATCAAAACAGCTGCTCATTACCAAATAACTTGACGATTCAGTCGGATGAATATTTTAGTTTTCCCAATGTGTTCTTCCTAAGCAATGTGTTGACCGCAGTCTGTTCAAAGAAGTAACATCTATCTAATATTGGAAAATCAGGTTCTTGTACAGTTTTGTGTCTGATCCTTTCGGCTGTTACGGCACCCCAGATATCGTCGTTAACATTGTTAACGTAACATGTGAACACTACAGACACGGTGCGTCTCAGTGCTTGTATTATTAAAACTATCTATTGTGACTCGGAACTACGCGGAGGTCCACGTTTTTACAAAAAACGTGTATCCCTTATTGATTTGTGAAGGCCAAATATTCGGCATTTCCACGATTTTCTCTAACTTTCATAGACAGACTGGATGATTGTGAAGTATGAAGAACACTGTGTGTGTGACAATATACCTTACAATGTACGAGTATTTGGGGCGTGTAGTCTGTGTATGTCCATAGTGAACAGTTATTTCAGTGTTATTTTATTACGATATTTGAAAGAGATGTGATGTATACTGCCTTTTTCTATAATCTCTAAGAAACATGTGTTTTAATCATGTTGATTGAAATGTATTTTTGTTATATATACATGGTATAACATACATACCATCAACATAAAAACGTTCATTTTTGAGTGTGTCCGATCGAATGAAAACCGTGCTTATCAATATTAAGCTATTAATATAATCCCTTTTACAATGGTATTGTTTGATTTGACTGTTCGTTTATATGTTTCTATCCCTTATCCCCCTTTACCCTTCTAAACAAAATGTCCTAATTGCCGCGAAATAGCACCGCCCTGTCACCCGCCATACCCACTTCCATCCCTTTTAACGCCAATCGCAGTGTCACGTGGTCGTATTCAACATTAACATGAGTGTTTAGCTATAAAACAATGGTAAGTGTGAGAGAGGTACTGAAGTTCGGTATGGTGCTAAAGAACTTATCTCTAAGGATGTTCCGAGACTGCAGTACACAATTACATACAGACTATGGATTAGTCGTAAGTCAGATAACGTTATGTATGTGCACGATTTCAGATAGTGGTGATCAATGATAGCATGTGTGTAAAAAATCCACCATTAATTTGGAAACATTTCATTCTTGTGATATTTTTGTATCTCTAATAAACATTTTACGATATTTAAGTTTCCTTCTTTTGTTCGTAAAATACGAGATTTTTTTGTAGACAAAATGCATAGAAAGTGCCAAAACAGAATGGTTTTCTGGGTTTTTTTTCACAATGTTTCATCACTTCGAAGACAGTAACTGTGATGCAAACATGAGTTTATCATTATAAAAAAAGAGCAAAATTCATGGGACAGCTGTAACGAAGTTCTTCTGTAAATAATATTGTTTTCTATCTTGATTAAATTGATGTCATCATGGTCCTGTGTTCAATCTGGACCCTAAACACGATTACCGATTACTGCTTTAGTGCGTATTTATCGTTTTGATATATAGAGAATCAAATACGACAGAGTAAAATAGTTGTAGACTATCTCTGTCTTTCATCATAACAAACATGTCAGAGGTTTTAATGGTGTTTATGAAATACACTTCAACAGTAAGTTGATGGGAAGCTA